AATCTTTTGTTTTTCTAGTACACATTTTGTAACAGTACATCATGTAGTTATATATTTCATCTTCATATAGTCTTTTTACTGAATTAGGATGTAGTGAAACTTTTCATTTATACTTTAGTTATTGTTTGTTTACATTTTTTATTATACATGTAGATCTACATTGTGTAATTGTTTACATTATTTTTTTCCAGAACTGAGTGAATTCATTGATTTTGTCAGCTGCCATTCACAGTAACAGACTCACAGTAAAGCATGTAGCATTTCACAGCAATTGGTATTGGTGAGATTAATATTAACATATATAATATATTCCCTTGAGCCCTATATCTTTGTAAACTTTGACTGATATTTACTAGTATCTACATAATCATACTGTATTTTGTCCCTTTTTGTATTTTTGACATACTTTTCCGCGGCTCTACCGACTGAGCTATCCTGCCGCTTACACATATTCTCCCCTAAATAGTAACAGAAATTTGGCGCCCAACGGGGGACCTTGACTGCTTATAGCTCAGAGTTCAATAAGCATTGCTCTGTAGCTTTGTGAAATTCGAGGACGAATTTCAATATTGTGGTGAAGTATGTCACGGTTCAGAACTGTTCACTATTTAGGGGAGAAGATGTGTAAGCGGCCGGATAGCTCAGTCGGTAGAGCCGCGGAACGGTATTCCGAAGGTCCCGGGTTCGAGTCCCGGTCAGGCTGCACATTTTTCTCACCCTGTGACATTAATATCAACATTTCACATTTACACCTGAATATCTATCATCTCTTGTCCTTCCTTTTGGTGAAACATTAGGGTATAGCTTGCGCAATTTGGAGGATATATATGACATACTATGAAACTAACAAGAACATCACTCTACTATATAATGCTTTAAATTTCTTCCGTCAAAGAACGGAATGAGCTTCCTTCAGATCTTCAATATGCCCCAACAGCATTCTATCCTCTTTCAATAATCGTCGTTTAAATAAAACAAAGTCCCCAAACTATTTCTGTACAGGTATTCGAAAAAGGCAAATATACCATGCACTTGTTAGTATAAGCATATATTGACCCTTTTTATGAACTGATTTAGAACAATATCATAATTATAGCAGCATTTACTTACCTAATTTAATGAAGCAATTATTGACAATGTATCTGATTAATATCATGAATGTAACAGCAAGTACAATTTTTTCAAGGTAAAATATCATAATCAATCACCGTTCTCATTTCATGAAGCAATCATTGACCATTAATATAATATCATAATTGCAGTAGCAATTAATCACTTGCCTGATTTTATGAAGCGTTCTTCCATAATTCATTTGATAAATCATGACTAAATTTGGTAAAATATCGTAATTGTAGTAGCAATCACTAACTTGATTTCGTGAAGCAATCATTGACAATGCACTCGATTAACTAATAAATAATGCATAAATTAAGAAAATATGCAAATATATTGTCATAATTATATTGCTTCAAAACAAATGGTCCACACTGGATGATAGACAATCTTAAATATTGCCTGGTAAAATATGTCATGTACCTGTTTGCAAGAACATTTGTAAAATAAAAATATGGGATAAAAATATTATGTTAAAAAAAGAACACAAGTTGAATCTTGAACCAATTTTATTACACATAAATGCAAAAATTAAGATTGACATTCTTTAATAAATACAGCAAGGACCAATCTCAAGTGTTCCCTTTTATTATAAGTAAAAAGCACACCATAGTGATAACATTGTGTTGAATTGTTTTCAGAAACTAATTCATGTTTTGTATAGACTGCAATGAAAAAGAAGATTATATAACGGTTTACATTAAAAAGGAAAGAAAAAGAAGTAAATAAAAACATTATGGTAATTATATGAATATATTTTATGGTAAGTTTTGCATGGTTTCAATTTTAAGTGCATTGAGTGATTTATTAAACGTGAATTAATTTTCGTTTATGTCAGATTTACGAAAATATATGAGACTAAGAGTTCAATAATCAAACAGAGCAAATAAAAGTCCTCTGTTTAACCCTTTCCCCCATGAGCATAATGTGAGCATCCTCTTACAAGTTCAAACTGCTATGAAACTATGAAAAATGCTTCAATACTAATCAAACTTGGCACAAATGTTGACTGGACCATTGCCTTTGTAACGACATGCTCAGTCTTAAATTTCCTGTTACCATGGCAACAAGGGGACATCTCAAAATTGCCAAAAATCACTATTTTGCCTAGATTTTTTCCATCAAAATTTATTTCAAAGTGCTGCAACTTCTCAAGGGATTGAGATAGAGTCAAAGGTTTTGGGGCCCAAATAGGACATTTTTTCACTATTTCAGGCCTAAAAAAAGGGGGGGGGGGGGGGCGAAAATGCGTTGTTTCGCGTATACCCAGATAGCATTCTATATGGGACCCATGTGGAGCCCATATGGGCACCTATATGGGTCCCATTTGGGCTGCCCATATGGGCCCCATATAGGAAGTGCAACCGGGTTCCAAATGGGTCCCATCTGGGCAGCCCTTATACTCAATATGGGATTCACATGGGCCCCATCTGGGCAGCCCATGTACACAATATGGGCCCCACATGGGCCCCATATGGGCAGCCCTTGTACTAAATATGGGTTTCAAATGGGCAGCCCAGATACTTCCATTATGGGTAGATTTTGAATTCCGGGGTAGATCTATTTTCAATTACTTCAATTATAAGTTTGCTGGACGTTAAGATAGCAACTGCTTGCTACAGAGCATGATTCTTGTACTTGCATTAAATATTCAAGTGATGTTTTAACTCATTCTGTTTCCTGGAACAGACAGATTATGGCACAAAGCCTTTATGATCATGCAAGAAAACAATACACAATGTATATGCTTTAACAATGTAACTTTATTTAGTAATCTCACTTATGGTAAGTGTATATCATATATATATACAGATTCTCAATACATTCTGTGGATGCCTGGTGTCAACAAAGAAACCTTTACTTATGTAAATAAACTTAGAAAAGTATACAATATAAAAATCCGAGTAAACTGTACATATTTGTAAAACCACAGAATTTCATTTTGACTACATAGTTTTTAATTCAAAAATACAGAAATATTATTCAAAAAGTCCTATGTAGTAAATATTACTTTGGTACACTAAATAAGCAACATGTAATGGAACACTGTTTATAATGTACGAACAAAATAATTAAAAATGCAGTTTTAAAACATTAGATACCTTACAGATCACTATAAGGAAAAATGAAACCTATGCTAGACACTGGTAATACTTTACAGAAGGTCTTTGGAACTCCAAGAAATATATGTGTATAATGTTTAAATTTCAGTGAATCAACAGTATGACCCCAAATGTCTTTTTAACTTTCTACATAATTCATAGAAAAAGTATTATACATTTACTGTAATTCATTACAAATTTGTATCTACCAATTACTTTCATTTTCAAATGATATAGATCTACATCAATTAATATAAAAAGTTGTTCATTACAACCATGTATTACACTTTGGTATGGTAGTGCTGAAGAAAAAAATGTTATGCAGCTCGTGAAAAGTAACAAATATAATAAAACAAAACCTTGGCACAGTTGTAATACTGTTCATAGATGTGTAAACAAAATATTATGCAGCTGATGAAAAAAAATTAATATAATTAACAAAACCTTGGCACGGTTGTAATACTGTTTATAGACGTGTGGACAAAATATGCAGCTAATGAAAAGTAACAAATATAATACACAAAAGGTTGGCACTGTAATTGTCAACAAAATATGCAGCTAATGAAAAGTAACAAAAAGTAATACAAAAAAGGCTGGCACGGTTGTAATACTGTTTATATAGACGTGTTAACAAAATATGCAGCTAAAGTAACAAATATGATACACAAAAGGTTGGCACGGTTGTAATTCAGTTAATAGACGTGTAAACAAAATATGCAGCTAATGAAAAGTAACAAATATAATACATAAAATCTTGGCACATTGAAATACTGTTTATAGACATGTAAACAAAATATGCAGCTGATGAAAAGTAAAAAATAGTTTGTACAAGTTTGTAAAAATCAATAATAATTAAAATGTGATATTACACAAAGATCAAATTTGTTGTGAAGAAATTCATTAAAATAATTGTCAGTAAAAATAGTTGGTTTCAGTAATTTCTCCGATATTATCAAAGTTTCAACAATAACAACAATAAAGATTACAAGAATCATCATTGTAAAGTATTTCAACTTTATTTTAAAGGTTAATACCATATCAATACATGTGTTCCCTGTTAGTGTCAAGTTTTGACAAGATGTTATAATTGTATTGATCAGTATCAAAAACATTCCCCAAGCATTTAATGTCTTGATTTAAATAGTAACAATGTTTTTTGTTTGTTTGTTTCATTTTACGCCTTTAACGTCATATAGGCGGGTAGTTTCCTAACCATCGTTTCTGGAGAGTTACACCAGTACTAGACTACCTTCCTCTAACAATGTTTAATGGAAAAAAAAAACAACAGCATATAGACAACAGAAAAACAGCATATAATGTCAACAACAAACATAACATAGCAGCAGAATATACTGACTAGAAGGCAAAATTTGACTAGACAAGAATTTTGCATTTACAAGAAAGACATGCTATGCTGATGACCTCAAACATTAAAATTAGCAACAAAAAGTATAACAAGATAAACAAATGAGCCGCTTACTGTAGTTCTGACCCTTATCACATTTTAAAAATACCTTGATACATATTGACTTTCAATCAGTGGAATAACTTATATGCAGATGAAGTAAAGGTTTGAAAATGTAAAATAAAAGTCATTTATTTTATCCTTTTGATTGTATTACTGATGTATCCGTGAAAAATATATTTGATAATTTCACAGTGAAATGATTAAAATTTCAAACTTTTTATGACGAGACTACTTTTTAAAGATTTTATCATCATTCAAATTTTTTGAATTCAATACATAATATCATGGCTTTTCAACGTTGATTGTCAAACTTATTTTTCAGCCCAAGACTTCCTGTATTTATGAGAAATTGGACTTCAACTAAAATTGATGTTAACAGTGGAGAAAACAGATTTAATATTAACGTTAATATTGAGGAAATTGCATTAGCATAAAATAAAAAGACACTTTATTGTTTGTTGTGTAAGATGTAATTTTATATCATTGAAGGAACTTTAAAAAACAGTGTTCTCACGAGCGCATAGCCACTCATGAGAATACTGTTTTTAAAGCTCTCTTGATGATATAAAATTTCATCTTACACACAAACAAACAAATATCCTCTATAAATTTGCATTTTTAAATTAAAAACATGTCTAGTCACTTCCTTCATTTTCTTCAGGTAAGGTCTCTGACACTTTGTTTCTTGCTTTCCTTCCCCCATCGCGGTCCCGCGCCCCAGCCAGCCACTTTGAAACCTCTATTTCAACATCCTTCCTCGTTGCAGCCTTTGTCGGCAAGTTCCTTTGGACACATTCTACAAAACAAGCATTCTTATCCTTAAAGAATGAAATGAAGTGAAATGAAGGTATTGAAACCATTCAAAGGTCATAAGCCACCTTGTAGCATTTTGAGCAGTATAAATTGGAATATAAACTAATTCTGGTATGTTTTACCAAATATAGATGTTTGTTTCCTGGTTTTACATAGCTTTTAACAATATTTCTGTGATATTGCTTGCAGTCAGTTGTAAGCTGAGATCATCATATCGGTGTATCAGTAAAGAATGTTAAGGTATTAAACAAATAACTTGCTTTACAGGAAGGTGATTTCTGTTTATATTATGCATCACAACACAATGCATGGGATCAAAACCACACAGCATGTAAAATATTCTCTCTTATTAATTTCCATAAAAAACTAGTCAAGCATTTTCCTTCATTAAAGCAATACACGAAGACACAATAACAAATCTTGGATAATATATTAATATATCTATTTTGAAGACACCACTTTGCAAATTTGTAAAAATATCACTTACTATACAATACATTCAGTATCTAGAGGCCCACAAACTTTTTCTTCCCCTTCAGCCACTTCATATTGTACATTATTGCCAGTTCATTTCTTTCATCAAGCGGTCAACAGTTTCCCGTACATCTGCCATACCAAACATTGAGAGGAACCGCACCTTAAATAAAGCAGAACATAAACTTTTTTTAATGTTAATTTTAACACTACTAAGTGAAGGGCTGCAAGTCACCAAATGACAAATAATTGTCAACTGGACCTCAAAAACATAATCTGCCAAGAAAACTGTTTGGATTGACAAATTAAAAGATCTTTCCTCATATATTTACAGCCTAGGACAACACCTTAGTGACTTGTGCCTTTATGTTTGTCCCCTCCACCGAGTGTTATGGGGCACATTATCATTGTTTTTTTATACAAGAGTTTATTCAATATCAACAGAATAATTTTTGATAATATAATAACAGCTCAATTCCTGGATTTTGTGGGTACTAGTCATTTTCCTGGTATTTTGAAAGCTGCCAGCATTTTGATTAATGAATTGACTGTCTTGTCCTAATAAATAATTAATGTTGAAAACGAGGCCAACTGCCTATGTCTTGTGCTCATGGCTATTATAGCATATATAAATAACATAACTGTGTCAATATGAATCAAAAAATTAAAACATGCCAGTTTTTAATTCTGAAATTAATGCAGCAAAGTGTTTGTCCACTGTGCAATATTTTCCAACATAAATATAGCAGAATGATTATACATTATCATCAAGTGCTCACCACAGACCATTATGTTATTTCGCTTTTAGGCCAGTGGATATGGGGTATACTTTTTTCAGTAACAGCAACATACATGACTAACACTATGCTTACCACAGATGAGAGCATTGTCTGATCTCCCAGAAGCTTATCGAATGCTTCCATCTGCTCAGGATAACGAATAGGGAATGAGATATCTTTCGGAAGTTGCAGCGGTTGGTCATCTGCTGCTGACCTTAACAGCATTCGCTGCACCATCCTCTTAATTTCACGATTCTTCTCTCGCATTGTCTCCAAGACTCGGAGAATCTGTGTAACAGCAGCTGAAAAAAAGGATTCATAATTCTAGGCCATATACTTTTAGAGCTATGTGTGGTTTGGATCCATGCTGGTCGCAAACCCATTATGTTGGTTTTGTCATGACCCGGCTCAAATGGAAAAAATCCAGTATTTTAAATTTTTCCTTGGCTTTAACAGTAATTAACGCTAAAATCTCAAAAGGATTGTTGAGTGTGCAAGGTCACAAAAAGTGAAAATGATAAGAAATCATGAATTAAACTTAACATATTTTTGAGCCTAGGCATGTCATTTGGTGACAATAAACATTCTTGACTCTTCCAGGGACCGTAACTTTGGATAACAGTAGTGGGGTCAGGCAAGAATATGCGCACAAATTCACATCATGATAAAGACTAACACAAGTAATCATCAATTTCTTTTGAATATTTTTTTAACTAGGGGCGTCACAAGGTGAAACTTTCCATTTTTGGCTGTGTCACTCAATCCAGCTTGTTATAACATTTATTGACTTGTTTTGAGAATACAACGTTTAATAAGTATGTACTGTAATAATAAATATATTTATAGCTCCGAAGTTTATACTTACTGGGCCCAATAATCTGCCCACGGAAGGGTGTATCAGAAGCACCTTGTATTGGAGAAGCACTTTGCACATCACTGCTGGCCTCTAGCAATGCCTGTGCAGATAAGCGAGGCGGAGATGAAAGTAGGCTTTGTGACTCTTTGGGCGTTGTTGCTTGGTCAATAACTTGTGGTGGCCTACTCTCTGTGTCTGTCTCATTCTCATCAGTGCCACTATCCGATTCATACAGCCTTTTTGATGGCCTATTTACAATAAAATGAAAAAACATTAATAAGTAATTATAAAATACATATACATTAAGTTAGTTATTGCGCCAAGTGACAATATGATTATGACCCGTAATCGGCTGGCAAACATGTACTAGTCTATGTTTACGTACCGAATTGTTGTGCCGCAATTTTGTCTACCAAGGATTTTTAGCACGAATGCGTTTGTTTCCCCGATAGATATTTCATGAACGGGAAGGGTTAAAGACTTGGTCCCATTTGGAAGCTTAATACAAACGTGAAAACGTGAAAGTGATAAAAGATTTTTTTAATTGTCTGGACAATTGTTTTCACAACGGCCCGGGAAGTGAATCCCTTGCTTGCAGGCTCGAATCTGGTGTTTCTGGCCTTCTCTTAACTTAAAGTATGTTTTAAAAGGGGGGTATAATTTACATTTTTTTTCGGTTTTTGACCTTTTAAAGATGAACACAGGTTTAATTATCTTTCGGGTCATATTTTTTCTTCCCAGATCCGATACTCGTGCCTGTGCAACATAGGGCTTGGTTGGTACTTGGAAAAAAATACTTGAATTTGTAATAATAAGTATTTGCATTTAATATTTTAAAATGCTTATGAATGAAATATTGGTACAAAATGGAAGGGACTTCTAAGGCTAGGAGGGGTCACTGGATTTCAAATGATGGTGTCCCTTTAAAAAGGATCTCTTAAAATTTAGTCTAGATAGAAACAATATTATTAAAATGTTAGTGTCGACTCCGTCACTGTTAAGTTATTCAACAATAACAACTATACACATCCATAGGTCAGCTAAAGTGCCTAATAGTGGGCGTAAATTCTAGAAAATGTCGCAAATTAAACTGACAAAAACTATCGCGAAATTACATGGCAAAGGCAAAAACAAAAACATAAATGACGTTTACACTTACCTTCACACACAATAAATCTGTAAGGATATAATATGAAAGGTCGTTATACGAAATCGTCGTTAAATGTTCCGAATTGAAATGAAATATTGTTTTCATGTACAATTTTACAATTTAACGTTTCAATACACAATTTGATTTTAAGCGGCAGCGGAAATCACGTCTGCGCATGCTCGAAATAAATTTTTCATCAAATGCTGATTTTTATAAATTATTTCTGAATAAATAGTCTAAAAACACATTTTTATATTTAGATTATAAAAATTAAAACCAATATAAAAACTAAACAAATTAATTTCTCGCACCTGCTCAGGCATGCTAATATTTATTGGGTTGCCCGAATGGGACCCATATGGGTCCCTCATGGCTTGTATATATGTTTATGCTACGATTTTTATAAAAGATAATAGCAATTTATGCCAAGGTGGTCACACTATAGCTCAAAGTAAACAAGTTCTAAAGAAATAAATAAACGAAAAATCGTTTTTCCTTATAGTGCTGTAATATGGGACCCATATGGGTCCAATATGGGCGTACCCAAATGGACTTGCCCATATTGGTCCCATATAGGTCCAATATGGGCATACCCATATGGGCTTGCCTAGATATAGCCCATATGGGTCCCATATATGCATGTTTGCTGGGTATATGAGGTAAAGGGTTAAGGAAACATTAGAGGACTTTTTCATATTTAGTAATCTAAATTGAAACAACAGGGTCTGAGGTACTATGTGTTATTCCTTTTATCATACCGCTCTTAATTATTTTAAAGTTCAACAATGAATAAAACCATATTGTTTAAATAAGAAAACGCAGTAAAGTATGGTGGCTGATTTGTGCCATTCGTGTTTTCGCGTCCCCGCCAAGCGAAAAGTCGAGAATTAACAAGTAAAAATGATGGTGGGGGCGCGGAGCGAAAACACGCTAATTAGCGAGGGCGCGTGTGAAGTTTAAGAAATAAAACGGCGGGGTGCGGAGCGAAAACACGCTGATAAGCGCCCCTCCTAAAAATTAAGCGTGTTTGTTACTAAATATAGTAACAAAAACGCCTATGCTTTCAACTGATCATGAGTGTCACGTGACCTATTATGAGTTTGCGGCCCGGGGCCGAGAACTAGTTATCAGCCCGCCGAACCTGTGCACGTGCACAAACTAAAACAATGACGTCATATTTTACGTCATCAAAAAGTTAACTGTTGAAGTGAAAGTAGGGTTAAAGCACGAATCGCTTGATTTTATTATGAGAGCATAAGCGTATTTCGTACAAACACAGTTTTATTACTATTGAAATTTAAAGAAATAAACGACAAATTCATTCCGAAAAAAAAATGAAAATAAAACTTGCTTCTAGATCCTACAGTAATGTACTTTTAACACACAAAAAGTAAACAACAGCTTTACTTTGTACAGAAGTTACTTAACTGTAGAGTCTACAGTAGAAATGCAGACAGGAATTTCAACGAAAAAAATTCAAAAGTATTCATTAAAAGAAAAAAATGTTTCTATTAGATCAACTAAGTGTATTAAAGACATTAATACACGTCATAGTTGTGCCAGAAGGTGATAATCGGCCCTGAAATGAATAATGCCCTCGGGCTGAAGCCCTCGGGGCCATTATTCATTTTGCGGACCGATTATCACCTTCCAGCCCTTCTCTGCCGTGTATTAATCTCTTATTTCGTCCCGCGACCCCGCCGTTTTATTTCTTCAATCGCGCTCCGCGCCCCCGCGGAGCGAAGTTTTATTTCTTTCACTTCGCTCCGCGCCCTTGCTAATGAGCGTGTTTTCGCTCCGCGCCCCCGCCATTTTAACTTGTTAATTCTCGACTTTTCACTTGGCGGGACGAAAACACGCTTTTTATAAAACTTTGCCGCGCGTCCCCACTACTTAGCGTGTTTTCGTCCCGCGACTAAATTTCGCTCCGTGCCCCTGCGGCGGGGGTGGGGGAGATTTATTTATTAAACTTCGCACCGCGTCCTCGCTAATTAGCGTGTTTTCGCTCCGCGCCCCCGCCATTTTAACTTGTTAATTTTCGACTTTTCGCTTTGCAGGGTCGCGGGGCGAAAATACGAATGGTACAAATCAGCTAGCATAGTAAGGGGAACTAAAAATTTTGTCAGACAGCTTGTATAATGGTCGAAATTTTCGTGCATTTATTTTAATCGGACATTTATCAAACTTACTTTTATTGTTAAAGTAGCAAGCCTCCAGATTCATGCTAAGCTTCATTAAAAAATGAAAATGTATTTAAATGTATAATATTGTGAAGAAACCAAAAGGAAGCAATTTACACATTATCAATGACACTTACAACCCACGTAAATTACCAAAAAGCAGATAAAAAATATGAAAAAATAGCCTTCACTGTTTAAGTTATGCAATAGAAAATATAGTTATAATTACTAAAAAATCAATCATTAATTGCACTTAACGTGTAAATTATTACTTGAATATTGAATCTTTTAACTTTTTTCTAAAATCTTAGTACATCTTTCTCAAGTTTTATTTTATAAAAAGTACTTTTGCTCATCTGGAGGTATGCTGCTTTTAAAATGGCTGTCTTAAATTTGATATAGACTCATATCTACATTTTATTTTATTCTTGTATTGGTTCTGCTGAGAAAAACCTTTTTGATGCTCAAATTTTATAAAACATTCGCATGCTACACGCGTTGTGTAAAGGCCGAATCCGATGTAAATATACTCTAACCCTTCAGCATTTAAAACGCTTCAAAAGCGAAAAAAGTGACCGCGTTGAAAGTTTGCCAAACAGTTTTTGTTTCAGGAGCTAACAACAACGCCTGAGCAGGCTGCGATTGCAGAAACCTGCAAACTATAGCAATACAATGTACAGATTTTTTTCCCCTTTAATGAGAGGACTATTTATTGTTATTCCAAATAATATTATCAAAGTAAAACGCTTATTAGAAAAATGAAACAACGTTTTAAACAGCCAAAAAGAGCGACATAAAAACAAGGTTTTCAGACGTTTAGTTTTCCATTTTTAGCGTCTTTTAGTCGTTGACCTAACTTTTGGTAGACTTGGACTACGTTTGATCAGAAAGCTTACGTTTAAAATGAAGGGACTCCACTTTTTTTTGACACAACGAGACAATTTTGAGAAATGTTTCAATTGATGTAGGTATAGAGAAATTATTCGTGTGCATCCACTTACTCCGTTTTTTCCAGAGAAAATTACTTAATTAAACTGAAAAAAGACTAAAACCGGACCAAGTGTACCATAAAATGTTTCATTTCCTGAGTATTTTTCTTAATTATATTTTGCATATTTGTCTGTTTTAGTGTCAAAAGTTGATTAGATGATTTATTGAAGAAATTCAAATTTTATGTACTTTGGCTTTTCGATCACAGAGGAGTTCCTTTAAACCACGTATTCGTGAATGCATTAAGTAGGGTTCATCCTACCTTACAGATCCCGGACATGTCATTATTTATGTCCTTTCATGTTATAATCTGCCAAAAAGGTGATCTATAATAATTCACTGAATGCTTCTAATCATGTACGTCTTCAAAAGAGGTTGCTGCCACAATTAATGATCATATCTTTCGGACGGGCTTGACTGACTGATCACGGACTGGTACTGGCACGTATTTTCGTAAGGATAGTCGACATGCAGAAGTCGAGTTTTTCACAGAAGAATTTCGAATGATATTGTAGCCAAATAATGGTGGTTACCTATTTGTTTTTATATTTAATTTTTATATCGATGAAATAAAGATTTAAAAATTACATTATGATACATAGATTCAGCAAATGTTACAGAACAGAACATTCCTCAAGTTTAACTTTCGAAGCTTGGTATCTTTTTTCAATTGCCAATATGAATCTGTCTGAAAAGTAAAAAGGTTTTCTGATAATAAACAAGAATTTGGCAGAGAAATTGTAATAGCTTAACGTCAAAACTGTCGAGACCCAGTATAAGTCGCCCTCAGGTCATGTAACATGCAATAACACACAAAGGTGCAAATGGCATGGATTTGACCTAAAATGTGTTGAACCTTGTTATTTATGCAATAAAATATCCATATATTTAAAAAAAATGCCACAAGCACCTTTGATAACACATAACTCTAGATATTGCATTATTTTGCAAAATATTGTAAATATACAGAAGAGTATCTCAAAATACCAGAGTTTGATGACCATCTTGGCCATTTTGAATTTTGGCCGCCATTTTGATTTTTAATCTTGGGTCTCGATCCTAAACAGCTAGACAGACATCAAGCATGCATGCATGCGTGTTTGCTTGTAGAATTAATATAGAGGACATTTGTTTAGTTCAGTGTAAGATCGGGATATATTTCACCGAGTGAGCAACAAAAGGTATATTTCAAGAGTGGCGCAGACACGAGTGAAATATGAACTTTTGGTATTCACAAGGTGAAATATATATTCGATCTTACACTAAACTAAACACATTTTCTTTTTACTATATGCAAATAAACGTTTAAAAATACGTGAATTTTTAACCTAATACTAATGAAAAGCGCGCCAAATAATAATATAATAATTAAGTTGGGCACGCTGGTATTTCTCTGAAATTTCACTAATATTTAAATGTCTATAAACCACCGAAAAGCATGTAATAAATAACGATTATATGTACTTTGACTTTTACGTTAGAGACAATCCGTAAAATACAAGAATCGTTCAGATAATGTTACATACAAACCACTTTTTATGTTAAAAGTTAAAAGATTTCCCAGTAAAATTTCGAGCACAACCTTACATTATACATGAACGAGCGGACCATCGGCATCCCTAAACAAATTAATAAGACAGAGAATGGCTTCTACTAATAAGAAATGTTTTTACAATCTCAATCTAATATGGAGAACGGTTGTTGTTTTTTCCAAGTCGGTAAATAATGCTGTTTATTGAAATGTTATTCAAATTGGCTCTTATGCATTAACCTTGCTTAAGTAAACTTCATTAAATTTAATAAACCTGCCCATGTCGTTCATTTCAAACCTTGTGGCCGAGGAGTTGGTTGCCTTTAATGGCTAAGGCTCAACAGTTAAAATCCGCGTGACGTATAGAGGCGACTAACTGGGTTCAAACAACTGGAGTCAATGTATCTTTAAAGCTCCAACAGGTGAGGGGTTTTTACTTTGGTGTTGCTTTTAAGTTTGTAACATGTCCCGAGGAATACCAAAATTATCTTTCCTGTTTCGGCGCCATCATCAGAAAGGATAATTAAGACAGAAGTTTTCTAGGTGGCTATTTGATTACTCTGACAAATTTACGTTTGGGCGTATATTTGCTCCGGCTTGCGGTGCTCATGTTCCTTATTCGGATGAAGTAATGTAAACATCGGAACACAAATAACATAGCGAATATGAATACAATTTGGACAAATATGACCTTTTTACCCATACTTTCTTTATTGTTTTGTATTAATTAGATCGATTAATTACAGTTGATATCATTAGTCAGCACTAATGTTATTCAAATTAGTGAAACAAAGTTCTTGTCCCGACAGTTGCAAAGTTTTCTGTAGTTTACTGAATGTAAAAAAACTTGAACTATACATGTTAATAGTATTTATTAATTTAATTATTTTTTAAATGGAGACATGGAAGCAAAATTATAACAGGAATTGAATTGTATTTATGACCAGGGTAAAATGAGCGGAGGTTATTGAAGAATTAAGTGTATAGAAACATCGGCAAACCTCACGAATGATCGTTAACAAAAAGTTTCAACTTAGTGTATCTTATGGCTGGTATAATGATAATGCAGGGCGTGGTCAAAGGTAAGTACATGTACAAATAATAATAATCTATAGTAACTTCAAATTCTAAAATTATTTGGATTTTAATTATAAGTAAAGCTAACAATAACTAATCATAAATTGCATAACACTCAACATTATGGTACCATATACAGTAAGTTTTAGTAAAGTATAGAATTACAATATTTTCAATTTATTATATACTTAGAAAATGAAATATTGATGAAATAAAATGCGTGTTTTCATTTTCCGTATTTTCACTGTAAAAATTTATTTTCACTGCAGTGAAACATATATATTTTCCGTATTTTCACTGGTGTTCTTGCCGGAACTACTTTCTTTTAAATTTCTGCCATTGCACAAAATTTAAAGGGAAAGTCTTTCAAATTTTAATGTCAAAAAAGAGGAAAAATGTATATAATAAACAGAAAAATTCAAGCTTTTTCTATAAATACATGATTTATTTTCATCTCGTGGCATGAAAATTACCATATTTCACTCGTGGCTACCGCCACTCGTGAACTATTTATTTTCATACCACTCGATGAAAATAAATCATGTATTTATCGACAAAAACTTGAATATCCTCTATAAGATATTTTTTTACGCAAGAATTTTTACAAATACAACAACTTAATAAAAAAACGTATACATTTATTTAAGAAACGCAGTTAAATTCTTTTCTATTATGCAATTTAAGTAAGAACACTAAAATACAAAACTGAAATGAAAATGGAAAAAAAATGAGACGAACTAACTGAATCATGTGAATTCTTATTGATAAGTTTTTGTTGAGTTTTATTCCAACCATAATTTTTTTTTCACTATTTACTTTACTTTAATTTTTGTTTAGATGTTACAGCGGAGGAGCAAAAGCGACAGGTAAGTCAAATAAAAAGAAAATACATTGTACATTATGTCAGTTTCATAAGAATATATTTTCAAAGTTTTAACATTCTTTTTTTTCAAACATCAACTACATATACTTCCTTGAATTTTTTTTTTTCTTATTTTGTACCAAACATGCATTTTACCGATAACAGTAATTACTTGGCAAACTCTACATTTCAAAAAACCATTTTTGGTCGAATATGTAAACAATTGACCCAGTGTTGACAGTACGGGCCAATTCTGCATTTCCAAAAACTTATTTTGGTCGATAGTGTAAACAATTGACCCAAACAATATGGGGGAAATTCTGCATTTCAAAAAAACTTATTTTGGTCGATAGTGTAACAATTGACCCAAACAATACGGGGAAAAATTCTGCATTTCCAAAAACTTATTTTTGGTCGATTGTTGTAACAATAAATTGACCCAAACAATACCGGGAGGAAAATCTGCATTTCCAAACGTTCGTAACTCTTAATTTGTGCTATACGAAATACGGTTGTTTTGCCAAGCCTTTTACGGGCTAAAATGTACATACATAGAAAATAGCTTCGAATATATTTTTGATAAAAAGATAATAAGTTTCGTGTCGCATGCAGAAAAGGAATATCAACATTCCTTTATGAATCATGTTTGTTGAAAATTATAGTGATAAATAAATGTTTTGCTGTGGATCACGTGACTGACTGGTCCCCTTCATAAACGACGCATTTTATTATTGTTTTAGAGCACACAGACGAAGATGTATGATTGGAATGATTGCTGGGTTTTGTTTTATCACTGGACTTTCTGCTTTTTGATCATCACCGTCTGTGTTGTTTATTGTGGTAACGGATGTAGTAAAAGAGCGGATCTGAGTCACAAGTGACACCGGTTATGGGAACTCATAACGCAGAACATAGAAGCCAGACAAGAGTAGTTGTTTACATTTTCACTGGTTACCATGACAATTTATGACTACAAATAAGTAACAATAATAAAGCAAAGAGAATAAAGTAACTAACAAAACATTTACACTGAACAATTTGACTATAAACTTAGTGATACATAAACAAGATATTCACGACCATATTATTGTGGTTTTTTTATTTGTTTGGGTCGTCAGACCAAACAAATAATGGTAGCGAAATTTCAGGCTCTCATGCTGTTAATTGCAAATGCCGAAAGTAGTTCGCTTTTTTTTGAAGAGGTTTACTTCCCTTTATATGTAACACTAAGGCCGAAAAATTCAGGGGAGATCACTGCGTAAATATGGTCACATGACAGGCGCATTATTTTCAAGCAAAATAATTCCGAATGGTCGAAGATTTCTAATATTGTTTTATTCTTTATAGATATACATGCTTATAGTAAGCGCCATGATTATTTACACAAGTGTTAAACAACAGTTAGCGTCGTTACAAACCCTAATATAGAATAATATGCTTTTCTTCAGGCAGTTAACATATAAATTCACAGTGCCGAGGGGTTTGCGCGCCCGCTTAGGAAGCGAGAGGTCTAGAGTTCAAATCCCAGTTAAGGCAACTCATTTTTTTTTCAAATTGCTTAAGTCAAATAAACATTGGATTGAATATCAGTGTTGCAATTAGTCTTTATAGCCAATCTACTACAATTAAAACGCTGGAAAGCATTGGTGGCACTATACAAAAAACAAATTGTTTTATAATCTCACAACCTTCACCTTTCTGACATTCTGAGACCCAAACAAATTCAGCGCCTTCTCTGTGCTTTGATTTTTTTTTTCTCAAATCATTTTTTTAAAACTGTTCGCATGGCATTGCATACATTTTTGGCTACGTCAATAATATTTCAGATTGAAAATATACACGAGATAATGTTGCGTTCAATTTCACATACAATGTTTTATTACCTATCGAATGTTTATGACTGAATTTTTTACCTTATAAAAGTTTACGGCTAATACAAGTATTACAGACTCAAAGAAATTCATTAACAATGTGTGTATATATATGTATATGTATTTAGGCAACGTTATCTTGTGATTTTTTTTTCACTCTAAAATATAATTGACGTATCTAAAATAAGTGTTAATAAAGCTTGAAGTTGACCAAATAATTAAAACAAAAAATCAAACAACAACCTTTTAATCATTTCACTATGCCATAATTTTTTTAACTGGCATTCTTTTTGTGGTTTATGTCAACTCAATTAAAAGACATACTATACTAACACAATTGAAATACGCTATAATAGGCAGAAAACATAAGAACTAAAACTATTAATGTAAACAAAACAAACTTAATTTGTTTATATATCGAACCCTTCAGTTTCTTCCCAATATTCATTGTTATTATTTTTTGTCTGCGTTTACTTGATTCCTCTATAATGTACCTCTTTAACTGTTCCAAAAATCTGAATCAGATTTCATCAATTTCTTCGACGTTTCTTTCTCTGAAAATGTACATAAATATCATGTTACGAAAATTTATAAAATGTAATATAACAATTACGGATCATGGCATCATTGTGCATTACTTACAATGACATTCTTTTAACAGTTCTTGGAAGAAAAATAAGTATAACTATATCGAAGATGTATGACAAAGAACAGTGTGTAACAATATATAATAGAAACGATTTGATATACAATTAAGTTGTTTTAGAGGATTTTGATTATTGAATTTTACAAAATCGTTAATGCTTTACAATGATGTCAAAGTAACGCTTACACGTCCTATCTGAACCAAACAACTTTTGTAACCCGTAACTTCACAAACTAGTATAAAACGTTGATAATGTATATATGAATAAAGCATGATTGTATCTTATATGAATACATTTGTGTACAAAATGTATGACAGCAATATTTGATTAAATGTGATAAAGATTACTGAGTTGTGGTTTGGGCTCATCGTATACAGCTGCTCGAGGGACACCAGCTTTCCTGACTGTAGGACCACGTGCTACAAATTCCCCTTTAGCTTTGAGTCTCGCCCACAATCATAGGTGGCGCTGCTGTCTCGTCGTCATCATCCTCCCTGTGTTGGAGAGCAGTTGTAACATCTTCATCATCATCAGAGTCTTCATTCATCTCATCCATCTCTTCTGCAGCAGTAGACCACGGTAGTACCTTCTCTTTTCTCTACAGTATCAATAAATGGTTAATACCATGAATAATCAAAATGCATTTGTGGACCCATGTAACTTCTGTATTTTAACATTTTATTTAGGTAAAGAAAAACGTAGTTTTTTTTATTAATTATCTCACAGAACAATTTACATTCAAATTGCGCTCTTGTTTTCTTTTTCTTTTCTTTTTCTTTGTTTTATATTATAAAGTAATAATATCTATCCAAATCCAAATACTTTACCTTGTCTGCTGTTATTAGATATTTCTTTACCAACAGAGGCAATATCAACACTCGAGTCACTTGATTTGATTTGCAATAATAATTTAAACTTGTCATTGGTATCAACACGTGCTTTATTCACTAATATGTTCGTTTTTATGACCTTTCTTTTGATGCTTTGTTATTTTTTTATCTTTATATATATCCCGTTATTTCAAAGTAAGTTTTGTATATGCATTTCGGACACAAATTCATGCATTTGACCACCATCGATACTTATTAGAATATCGAATAATCAAATCTTCTTTTTGTGGTATCAGTCTTAATGCCTAATATCTTTTGCGTCACTAGAAAATGCACATCTGTTTATCATCATACACTAACATACATGTATGTATAACATTTTCATATTGCCTAGTGCATACCGTGTCGGCTTCATAAAAGTTCATATGCCACATCCGATTCTATGTTAAAATATTCCGCACACATGTATATCTTACCTTCTTGTCATACTCTTCAATCCTAGAAGACGTTTACGGCACCAGGGTATACACCATCTAAACCTTTTTATTTGGATACTGTACATCATCATAAAACCACAGACAATAACTAGCAACAACACGCCGAATGTAAGAACCACTGTTAGCCATGCAATGTTCCTGTTGTCCTCAATGAACGTGAAAGGTCGGTCTGTAGTCACTGGTACTACCGTAGATGTCTATATAAATGAGCCACGTCATGACAAAACCAACATAATGCGTTTTCGACCAGCATGGATCTAGACCAGCCTGCGCAACCGCGCAGTCTGATCAGGATCCATGCTGTTTACTATCAGTTTCTCTACTGGTTATAGGTTTTGGTAAGCGAACAGCATGGATCCTGAGCAGACTGCGCGTCTGCGCAGGCTGGTCTGGATCCATGCTGGTCGCAAACGCATTATGTTGGTTTTGTCATGACGTGGCTCATTTATATAGACATCTACGGTAGTACCAGTGACTAAGATGGTAATAAGACAGAGAATGGCTTCTACTAATAAGAAATGTTTTTACAATCTCAATCTAATATGGAGAACGGTTGTTGTTTTTTCCAAGTCGGTAAATAATGCTGTTTATTGAAATGTTATTCAAATTGGCTCTTATGCATTAACCTTGCTTAAGTAAACTTCATTAAATTTAATAAACCTGCCCATCGTTCATTTCAAACCTTGTGGCCGAGGAGTTGGTTGCCTTTAATGGCTAAGGCTCACAGTTAAATCCGCGTGACGTATAGAGGCGACTAACTGGGTTCAAACAACTGGAGTCAATGTATCTTTAAAGCTCCAACAGGTGAGGGGTTTTTACTTTGGTGTTGCTTTTAAGTTTGTAACATGTCCCGAGGAATACCAAAATTATCTTTCCTGTTTCGGCGCCATCATCAGAAGGATAATTAAGACAGAAGTTTCTAGGTGCTATTTGATTACTCTGACAAATTTACGTTTGGGCGTATATTGCTCCGGCTTGCGGTGCTCATGTTCCTTATTCGGATGAGTATGTAAACATCGGAACACAAATAACATAGCGAATATGAATACAATTTGGACAAATATGACCTTTTTACCCATACTTTCTTTATTGTTTTGTATTAATTAGATCGATTAATTACAGTTGATATCATTAGTCAGCACTAATGTTATTCAATTAGTGAAACAAAGTTCTTGTCCCGACAGTTGCAAAGTTTTCTGTAGTTTACTGAATGTAAAAAAACTTGAACTATACATGTTAATAGTATTTATTAATTTAATTTATTTTTAAATGGAGACATGGAAGCAAAATTATAACAGGAATTGAATTGTATTATGACCAGTAAAATGAGCGAGTTATTGAAGAATTAAGTGTATAGAAACATCGGCAAACCTCACGATGATCGTTAACAAAAGTTTCAACTTAGTGTATCTTATGGCTGGTATAATGATAATGCAGGGCGTGGTCAAAGGTAAGTACATGTACAAATAATAATAATCTATAGTAACTTCAAATTCTAAAATTATTTGGATTTTAATTATAAGTAAAGCTAACAATAACTAATCATAAATTGCATAACACTCAACATTATGGTACCATATACAGTAAGTTTAGTAAAGTATAGAATTACAATATTTCAATTTATTATATACTTAGAAATGAAATATTGATGAAATAAAATGCGTGTTTTCATTTTCCGTATTTTCACTGTAAAAATTTATTTTTCACTGCAGTGAAACATATATATTTTCCGTATTTTCACTGGTGTCTTGCCGGACTACTTTCTTTTAAATTCTGCCATTGCACAAAATTTAAGGGAAAGTCTTTCAAATTTTAATGTCAAAAAAGAGGAAAATGTATATAATAAACAGAAAATTCAAGCTTTTTCTATAAATACATGATTTATTTTCATCTTGTGGCATGAAAATTACCATATTTCACTCGTGGCTACCGCCACTCGTGAACTATTTATTTTCATACCACTCGATGAAAATAAATCATGTATTTATCGACAAAACTTGAATATCCTCTATAAGATATTTTTTACGCAAGAATTTTTTACAAATACAACAACTTAATAAAAAAACGTATACATTTATTTAAGAAACGCAGTTAAATTCTTTCTATTATGCAATTTAAGTAAGAACAGCTAAAATACAAAACTGAAATGAAAATGGAAAAAAAATGAGACGAACTAACTGAATCATGTGAATTCTTATTGATAAGTTTTGTTGAGTTTATTCCAACATAATTTTTTTTTCACTATTTACTTTACTTTAATTTTTGTTTCAGATGTTACAGCGGAGGAGCAAAAGCGACAGGTAAAGTCAAATAAAAAGAAAATACATTGTACATTATGTCAGTTTCATAAGAATATATTTCAAAGTTTTAACATTCTTTTTTCAAACATCAACTACATATACTTCCTTGAATTTTTTTTTTTATTTTGTACCAAACATGCATTTTACCGATAACAGTAATACTTGGCAAACTCTACATTTCCAAAAACCATTTTTGGTCGAATATGTAACAATTGACCCAGTGTTGACAGTACGGGCAAATTCTGCATTTCCAAAAACTTATTTTGGTCGATAGTGTAACAATTGACCCAAACAATATGGGGGAAATTCTGCATTTCAAAAAACTTATTTTGGTCGATAGTGTAACAATTGACCCAAACAATACGGGGAAAATTCTGCATTTCCAAAAACTTATTTTGGTCGATTGTGTAACAATAAATTGACCCAAACAATACGGGGGAAATTCTGCATTTCCAAACGTTCGTAACTCTTAATTTGTGCTATACGAAATACGGTTGTTTTGCCAAGCCTTTTACGGGCTAAAATGTACATACATAGAAAATAGCTTCGAATATATTTGATAAAAAGATAATAAGTTCGTGTCAGCATGCAGAAAAGGAGATATCAACATTCCTTTATGAATCATGTTGTTGAAAATTATAGTGATAAATAAATGTTTTGCTGTGGATCACGTGACTGACTGGTCCCCTTCATAAACGACGCATTATTTATTATTGTTTTAGAGCACACAGACGAAGATGATGATTGGAATGATTGCTGGGTTTTGTTTTATCACTGGACTTTCTGCTTTGATCATCACCGTCTGGTGTTGTTTATGTGGTAACGGATGTAGTAAAAAGAGCGGATCTGAGTCACAAGTGACACCGGTTATGGAACTCATAACGCAGAACATAGAAGCCAGGCAAGAGTAGTTGTTTACATTTTCACTGGTTACCATGACAATTTATGACTACAAATAAGTAACAATAATAAAGCAAAGAGAATAAAGTAACTAACAAAACATTTACACTGAACAATTTGACTATAAACTTAGTGATACATAAACAAGATATTCACGACCATATTATTGTGGTTTTTTATTTGTTTGGGTCGTCAGACCAAACAAATAATGGTAGCGAAATTTCAGGCTCTCATGCTGTTAATTGCAAATGCCGAAAGTAGTTCGCTTTTTTGAAGAGGTTACTTCCCTTTATATGTAACACTAAGGCCGAAAAATTCAGGGGAGATCACTGCGTAAATATGGTCACATGACAGGCGCATTATTTTCAAGCAAAATAATTCCCGAATGGTCGAAGATTTCTAATATTGTTTTATTCTTTATAGATATACATGCTTATAGTAAGCGCCATGATTATTTACACAAGTGTTAAACAACAGTTAGCGTCGTTACAAACCCTAATATAGAATAATATGCTTTTCTTCAGGCAGTTAACATATAAATTCACAGTGGCCGAGGGGTTTGCGCGCCCGCTTAGGAAGCGAGAGGTCTAGAGTTCAAATCCCAGTTAAGGCAACTCATTTTTTTCAAATTGCTTAAGTCAAATAAACATTGGATTGAATATCAGTGTTGCAATTAGTCTTATAGCCAATCTACTACAATTAAAACGCTGGAAAGCATTGGTGGCACTATACAAAAACAAATTGTTTTATAATCTCACAACCTTCACCTTTCTGACATTCTGAGACCCAAACAAATTCAGCGCCTTCTGTGCTTTGATTTTTTTTTTCTCAAATCATTTTTTAAAACTGTTCGCATGGCATTGCATACATTTTTGGCTACGTCAATAATATTTCAGATTGAAAATATACACGAGATAATGTTGCGTTCAATTTCACATACAATGTTTTATTACCTATCGAATGTTTATGACTGAATTTTTTACCTTATAAAAGTTTACGGCTAATACAAGTATTACAGACTCAAAGAAATTCATTTAACAATGTGTGTATATATATGTATATGTATTTAGGCAACGTTATCTTGTGATTTTTTTTTCACTCTAAAATATAATTGACGTATCTAAAATAAGTGTTAATAAAGCTTGAAGTTGACCAAATAATTAAAACAAAAAATCAAACAACAACCTTTTAATCATTTCACTATGCCATAATTTTTTTAACTGGCATTCTTTTTGTGGTTTATGTCAACTCAATTAAAAGACATACTATACTAACACAATTGAAATACGCTATAATAGGCAGAAAACATAAGAACTAAAACTATTAATGTAAACAAAACAAACTTAATTTGTTTATATATCGACCCTTCAGTTTCTTCCCAATATTCATTGTTATTATTTTGTCTGCGTTTACTTGATTCCTCTATAATGTACCTCTTTAACTGTTCCAAAAATCTGAATCAGATTTCATCAATTTCTTCGACGTTTCTTTCTCTGAAATGTACATAAATATCATGTTACGAAAATTTATAAAATGTAATATAACAATTACGGATCATGGCATCATTGTGCATTACTTACAATGACATTCTTTTAACAGTCTTGGAAGAAAAATAAGTATAACTATATCGAAGATGTATGACAAAGAACAGTGTGTAACAATATATAATAGAAACGATTTGATATACAATTAAGTTGTTTTAGAGGATTTTGATTATGGAATTTTACAAAATCGTTAATGCTTTACAATGATGTCAAAGTAACGCTTACACGTCCTATCTGAACCAAACAACTTTTGTAACCCGTAACTTCACAAACTAGTATAAAACGTTGATAATGTATATATGAATAAAGCATGATTGTATCTTATATGAATACATTTGTGTACAAAATGTATGACAGCAATATTTGATTAAATGTGATAAAGATTACTGAGTTGTGGTTTGGGCTCATCGTATACAGCTGCTCGAGGGACACCAGCTTTCCTGACTGTAGGACCACGTGCTACAAATTCCCCTTTAGCTTTGAGTCTCGCCCACAACATAGGTGGCGCTGCTGTCTCGTCGTCATCATCCTCCCTGTGTTGGAGAGCAGTTGTAACATCTTCATCATCATCAGAGTCTTCATTCATCTCATCCATCTCTTCCTGCAGCAGTAGACCACGGTAGTACCTTCTCTTTTCTCTACAGTATCAATAAATGGTTAATACCATGAATAATCAAAATGCATTTGTGGACCCATGTAACTTCTGTATTTTAACATTTTATTTAGGTAAAGAAAAACGTAGTTTTTTTTATTAATTATCTCACAGAACAAATTTACATTCAAATTGCGCTCTTGTTTTCTTTTTCTTTTCTTTTTCTTTGTTTTATATTATAAAGTAATAATATCTATCCAAATCCAAATACTTTACCTTGTCTGCTGTTATTAGATATTTCTTTACCAACAGAGGCAATATCAACACTCGAGTCACTTGATTTGATTTGCAATAATAATTTAAACTTGTCATTGGTATCAACACGTGCTTTATTCACTAATATGTTCGTTTTTATGACCTTTCTTTTGATGCTTTGTTATTTTTTTATCTTTATATATATCCCGTTATTTCAAAGTAAGTTTTGTATATGCATTTCGGACACAAATTCATGCATTTGACACCATCGATACTTATTAGAATATCGAATAATCAAATCTTCTTTTTGTGGTATCAGTCTTAATGCCTAATATCTTTTGCGTCACTAGAAAATGCACATCTGTTTATCATCATACACTAACATACATGTATGTATAACATTTTCATATTGCCTAGTGCATACCGTGTCGGCTTCATAAAAGTTCATATGCCACATCCGATTCTATGTTAAAATATTCCGCACACATGTATATCTTACCTTCTTGTCATACTCTTCAATCCTAGAAGACGTTTACGGCACCAGGGTATACACCATCTAAACCTTTTTATTTGGATACTGTACATCATCATAAAACCACAGACAATAACTAGCAACAACACGCCGAATGTAAGAACCACTGTTAGCCATGCAATGTTCCTGTTGTCCTCAATGAACGTGAAAGGTCGGTCTGTAGTCACTGGTACTACCGTAGATGTCTATATAAATGAGCCACGTCATGACAAAACCAACATAATGCGTTTTCGACCAGCATGGATCTAGACCAGCCTGCGCAACCGCGCAGTCTGATCAGGATCCATGCTGTTTACTATCAGTTTCTCTACTGGTTATAGGTTTTGGTAAGCGAACAGCATGGATCCTGAGCAGACTGCGCGTCTGCGCAGGCTGGTCTGGATCCATGCTGGTCGCAAACGCATTATGTTGGTTTTGTCACGACGTGGCTGAAATGATAACGAGTGGCATTACAAAAACAATTACTGACAAATGGTTTGTAAGTGAAGGAATCCGTTTTATACTGGCATATTTTCTGCTACGATTTGTATATAACGAACTAATGTTTCATGATAATATACGACCTCACCAATACAAAGAAAGTATCGCTAGTTAACTCCGAATTCGGTATAAATCTTATTTCATTAATTGAATTATTCCAAGATTAAATTAAATGTAGATATATAGATCAGAAAAGTTTGTTAGTCAACGGGTCATTCAAGGTAAGAGTTCATTGGTTCAGCTTTCGCGGATTTTGTTTAACCAAATAACATTTGGCACTTCTCTGTCCGATCCTGGTCTAGTAAAATACACGCATGCACTGTGGCTGTGCAAGTATTGTAATTTTTATATACATTCTACTTTCTATGATGAATGGGGGGGGGGGGGATACACAGGCAATTTGTTTACATAATGAGGTCATGATGTCGATTTTCTGAATAGAAAACTGGACATTTTTTTAATGAGGTCATGATGTCGATTTTCTGAATAGAAAACTTGACAATTTTAATGACATAATCGATGTCGATTTTCTGAATAGAAAATGTGACATTTTTTTTTGAATGTTCAATTTTTTAATAAAAAGTACTACATTTATAGTGACGTAATATAAATGTCGATTTTCTGAATAGAAAACCCGACACATTTTTTTATGTCCATTTTTTCAATAGAAAATGATACATTTTAATTTGTTTACATAAGTGACGTTATAATGGTCAAAGTTATGAATAGAAAATTGCTACCATAAAGGATTAGGTTAACATAATAATGGTCAAAATAGACAATAGACAATTACGACCGTAAAGGATTACGGGTCACATAAATATGGTCTAAAGTATACAATAGAATAATGATACCATAAAGGATTACTAGTAACTAATTCGGTCAAAATATACAAAAGGAAAATTATAATCAAATTATTGGTTTAAACTATGAATAGAAAATTAGGACAAAATATTATTAACAAGTCTAGACCAGCTGTGGTTAACTCATATAATAAACTACTTTAGTATCTGGTATTTCTTCTTCTTGATATTGTATTTTACTATCTCATGTATCCGCCATCAGAAAAATGTAAAGTTTAATCAATTGTTTACATAATGACTTAAGAGTGTGTACTTGATAACAATAGAACAGGTAACACTCCAAAATGAGCAAATGAGCAATCAAAATGAGCAAATGAGCAAGTAAAATGAGCAAATGAGCAACCAAAATGAGCAAATGAGCAAGTAAAATGAGCAAATGAGCAACCAAATGAGCAAATGAGCGAGTAAAATGAGCAAATGAGCAACCAAATGAGCAAATGAGCAAGTAAAAAGAGCAAATGAGCAACCAAAATGAGCAAATGAGCAATCAAAATGAGCAAATGAGCAAGTAAATGAGCAAATGAGCAACCAAATGAGCAAATGAGCAAGTAAAATGAGCAAATGAGCAACCAAATGAGCAAATGAGCAAGTAAAAAGAGCAAATGAGCAACCAAAATGAGCAAATGAGCAACCAAAATGAGCAAATGAGCAACCAAATGAGCAAATGAGCAAGTATAATGAGCAAATGAGCAACCAAATGAGCAAATGAGCGAGTAAAATGAGCAAATGAGCAACCAAATGAGCAAATGAGCAAGTAAAAAGAGCAAATGAGCAAACAAAATGAGCAAATGAGCAACCAAATGAGCTTATGCGCGAGTAAAATGAGCAAATGAGCAACCAAATGAGCAAATGAACAAGTAAAAAGAGCAAATGAGCAAACAAAATGAGCAAATGAGCAAGCAAAATGAGCAAATGAGCAACCAAATGAGCAGATGTGTGAGTAAAATGAGCAACCAAATGAGCAAGTAAAAAGAGCAAATGAGCAAACAAAATGAGCAAATGAGCAACGAAATGAGCAGATGCGCAACTAAAATGAGCAAATGAGCAACCAAATGAGCAAGTATAATGAGCAAATGAGTAACCAAATGAGCAAATGAGCGAATAAAATGAGCGACTGAGCAAGCAAAATGAGTAAATGAACATCCAATTGAGCCACTTAGCAAGCAAAACGAGTAAATGAGCAACTAAATAATTTCGTTGGGAATATAAAAAGGAGAATCGGCATTAATTTTGCCATTTGATCGCTTAAAATAATGGTATTCACATGTCTATTGTGTTATAAAAAATTCAATAAAAAGTACAATTTAAATAGGCATTCACATCTCAAACATAATAACAGTATGTCTGAAAATAATATCAGCGATGGAAATACATCAGAAGAGGAACCAAATCGTAAACCTTATCTATATAGAAACATTTTCGATCGGTTGAGACCTAATAGATCCAAATCTCATCATTACGAAGAAGACGATGATAGTGAACAAGATAATGACGACGAATCTTCTACTATTTGGCATGACAATGGAAAAAAATATGACGATGTTAACAAGAAAAAACATATTGACATATGGAAGTATTTTACAGATCTCACATATGAACAAGGAGATGACGTTTTAAATGAAACAGCCAGTAAAATGCGTAATGAAGACCCTGATAGCTCTCTTGAAGAAATAAGAAATAAAGCTTTTGAAAAATTACGCTCCGTGTATCATAAAGCATTCAGAGAAGTTTATTTGGATTTTATTGGAAAAATGTATGCACTTCAGCGCAATCCAACACATAAAAAGATCATGGGAACTGTAAAAAGATTAAGAGAGGAAGATGATTTTGAAAATGATGAAGCTATACAGTATGCTGTTAAAAAAAGAAAATTTATGTTAGAGCGTGTTATGGACAAGTACCCATTACCAGAACTTGAAGAAACATTTGAGATGATGATGATGATGATGATGATGATGATGATGCTAACGATGATGATGCTGATGACAGTGAAAAAGCAACTAGTAGTGATAAATACTGACATTTTATCAATAAATGAACAAATTATTAAAGACATGTGAAAGTTTATTATATTCATTCATATTTTGGAAAGACAAAAGGACAAATGTTAGTGTGGTACATTATGATTGGCACATTTTTTATCATATGCCAAATGCGTTTTATTTTAAATATTTCTTTTTGTAAATGCAGTCTGTAGTTAATAAATTAAACTGTATCATTAGATCTTTGTTTTATTTTTTTTTATAAATTTATGTATATCCTTTTCTTAAATCGTCCAACTAATCCATGTTGCGCCTGGGTGTAGTTGAAATGCAAAAAAGTTATCTGGAGAGAGAAATCTAGTCAAGGGTATGTGAAAACTTGACATAAAAATCTATCACCAAATAGCTGTGTTTGCTCTGATGATATTTTTAATATTAAGTAAAATCCATATTACCACTTCAAGCATGCCAGGAAAATAGTTATACTGTGGCTATAATTTAATGGTGGACAAGAAGTGAGTAATTTAAGGACACACCTGTATACAAAGGGTTTACTTATTGACATGAAATTAAATATTTAATTATTGTTTCTGTCTGTTATCAAGTCATAAAAAGGACCAATGTTTATCTTGGCGCTGACATCAATTTCACAGATGCTACAAATCTGACGGTTCATTGCTATACAAATCCCAAGGTGATGACATTATCACTTCAGTGGTGAAACGTAAGATTTAATTGGTTTCTTCGTTCTGGCAATTAACAGCAGAAAATGTTTTCTCTTTGCTAGATCAAAATATAAAAATAAGAATGTGAATAAAAAAATTTCAGTACAATTTATTCAATTTTAGGTTGTAATTCCTATCCTCGCTTTAAAGTGGTGAACAAAATCGTATAAAAATTTCTCCATTGAATAAATGAATGTTCATAACAGACTACCGAAACCACACTTTCATCGACATAGAAAGGCGTCCCTTTGTGGTTTTATTACCTGGGTGAAATATATGTTACATCTGGGGTCATACTGATCATACATCCTTAAAGGATTGTTTGTTTTATCAGATAACCACATTGTGTGGTTAAGAGTTCAAACCATAAATGTGATAAAAGCAAGATTTACCAGCTGGTAACAGAAAGATTATTCATTGACAAAAGTCTAATGAGTTCTAAAGATACATGTAGGTGTTGAAACCATTGGATAAAAACTGAGACAAAACAGGCCTCATTATTTTATAAGAAAACAATAATTGGGTATGAATTTGTAAAGTAAAAGGTAACTCAATTGGTATGTATGTATCCCACCTGCATGACTATCAAGTTTTATCAAATTTACTGCTTTAGAAATACACAGTAAATTAATTATATCAAGCATTGTATGAACCACAGAGAAAGTACTTGCCTTCAATGAGAGGTTGAATTGACCTATTTTGATCTGTGGCCTAGTAACTTTAAAGAAGGTAATTATATACAAAACAACTGGCATAGGTTTGTTTCTTGTCAACATGTGCAAAAATATGACGTGTCAATTTTTGAAAAAATGCGACATGTTAAATTTTGCATTTACATGTATAAGATTGACATTTTTGGAGTGTTACCTGTTCTATTGTTATCAAGTACACACTCTTAAGTCATTATGTAAACAATTGATTAAACTTTACATTTTTCTGATGGCGGATACATGAGATAGTAAAATACAATATCAAGAAGAAGAAATACCAGATACTAAAGTAGTTTATTATATGAGTTAACCACAGCTGGTCTAGACTTGTTAATAATATTTTGTCCTAATTTTCTATTCATAGTTTAAACCAATAATTTGATTATAATTTTCCTTTTGTATATTTTGACCGAATTAGTTACTAGTAATCCTTTATGGTATCATTATTCTATTGTATACTTTAGACCATATTTATGTGACCCGTAATCCTTTACGGTCGTAATTGTCTATTGTCTATTTTGACCATTATTATGTTAACCTAATCCTTTATGGTAGCAATTTTCTATTCATAACTTTGACCATTATAACGTCACTTATGTAAACAAATTAAAATGTATTTTCTATTGAAAAAATGGACATAAAAAAAATGTGTCGGGTTTTCTATTCAGAAAATCGACATTTATATTACGTCACTATAAATGTAGTACTTTTTATTAAAAATTTGAACATTCAAAAAAAATGTCACATTTTCTATTCAGAAAATCGACATCGATTATGTCATTAAAATTGTCAAGTTTTCTATTCAGAAAATCGACATCATGACCTCATTAAAAAAATGTCCAGTTTTCTATTCAGAAAATCGACATCATGACCTCATTATGTAAACAAATTGCCTGTGTATCCCCCCCCCCCATTCATCATTTCTACTTCCAAAAATAATCAATATCTCGAAGAAAAACATCGACTAAAATTACAATTACTGACATTTGTAAGTTAATTTTCATTTAGAAAATTAGCATTGATCACATAAATGAGTTTTATTGCAATGTATAGGAAATGAAGATATGAGTATTTTGACACTATAAAAATTCAATCAATTCATACAGTTTAAAACAATGTGCCTTTTTTATATAGATTTCCTTCCTGCAACATAATACAATATAAGATAGATATTTTATATGATTTTATTTGAACTAGTCGGCACGATCTAAGCTTACCGTAAGAAAAAAATCATGTCGGAGTTTTGCATGACGTACTTACCCCAGAAATGAATAAGGTAACCGTTGCCGCGTACCGGTCGGTAGAAAAAGTTCATATCGGAGTTCTGCATGACGTACTTACCCCAGAAATAAACAAGGTAACCGTTGCTGTATTTGCCCGACGTCTTTCTTCTCTATCTACATTGTTCTCAGCGCTTACAAGCAATACATAAGAGACGTCATAGTAGAAATACGCGGACGTCCATGACTCATTCACGTAAATATTTCCTGTAAATGATAATTATCAACATTTATATACGCACATCAGGATGTGGTCACATGTATTTAACGAAATCAATAATTGGACACTTCAGCAGTACTTAAATAATTCGAGTTTAGTTTAATTATCAGTTCTTTCTCAAAGATTAAATATTTCATTTCTTACACAGCTAAACAAGTAACATGGATTTTAATATTTCCTTTGAACAGTCGATCCATTGTTGAAACTGAAAACACTTGAGCCGCGTCATGACAAAACCAACATAATGGGTTTGCGACCAGCGTAGATCCAGACCAGCCTGCGCATCCGCGCAGTCTGATTAGGATCCATGCTGTTCGATATCAGTTTCTCTACTTGTAATAGGGTTTGTAAGCGAACAGCATGGATGCGCAGGCTGGTCTGGATCCATGCTGGTCGCAAACGCACTATGTTGGTTTTGTCGTGACGCGGCTCACTTGTATTTCGAATAAAATTTGGAATAAAAAGGCTTTGGTATATAAATTTAAAAGTCTGTTACAATCTTAGATATCTTTCGTTTGCAATTAAATCGTTGTACATTTTCAGGTTTTGCTAGACAATTTAGTGAATAATTATCATTACATATTCATACAGCAAAGTATAATTATAAATTTATAATTTTCTCGTATAACGTTTAAATGATCCACTGATCATGACGTCCATGAATATTCCAATTAAATTTAAAATACACATGATCTTTTCATGGTATGCCATTCAAAAATATTCCATTGTCGAGGAAAAGAATTTGGAGCAGCTGCTCTTATTTTTGGCTTCGTTTCCTTTATAACTTGTAATATTATTATTTAGCCAAAACATGCCATAAACCAAAACCCTGCTGTTTCTTTCATTTTTTTGTTTGGTTGGGTTTTACGTTGCACAAAAATAGTAAAGGTCATATGGTAACTGTCCAGCTTTACTGGTGAAGGAAGACCTCTGATGCCCCTTCGTGCATTACTAACAGGAACCTGAGTAAAACCACGGACAGGATTCAAACCAACAGTGGTGAAGGGAAAGTGCTTTGTTATCAACGACCTTTCAGGAACGAACAAGAACCTGAGTAAAACCACGGACAGGATTCAAACCCACAGTGGTGAGGGGCAAGTGCTTTGAAATCAACGACCTTCACCATTCGGCCACCGACGCCCCCCTGCTGTTTTTATTGCAACGAGTTTACATTAATCTTGGGGGGGGGGGGGGGGAACAATAATATAAGTACAAAGTTCAGACATGATACAGACCAATATCTAGTTTATTAAAGGCTTTTTACTCGAAAACCTTATATCGTATATCGTTAAATTAAAACTGTTCTAAGATATTGTTGTCTATGATAACATATAAGAAAGGGATATCAAAAAAAAAAAAAAGATTTTAAACATGATCAAATGTTTTAACCTAGGTGTTTCTTTATGTTTGAAGATGGTATATACTGATGATGATGATGATGATGTTGATGATGATGATGATGATGATAATAATGATGATGATGATGTTGATGATGATAATGATAATGATGATGATGATAATAATGATAATGATGATGATGGTGATGATGATGATGACATCGATATGATGATGATAATGATGATGACGACAAAGATGATGATAATATGATGATGATAATGATGATGAAGCCAGACAAAAAACTTTTACCAAAGTCATTTATCAGAATGTAATCTTTTGGAAAAGGGTGATGAATGATCTGAGTGTTTTTTGTTATTTTTCGGGCCTGTCTGTCGCCGCCCCGGGGCATTTCTTGCCCAAAATTTTCCCCCGGTTTAGTTTGGTGTTTAAAAATTTAGTTTCATTTGGCTGAAGAAGAGGGTCTTTTTGTCTTTTTACCCGAAATAAATAATACTGCTTGTTGGGGAGTATGTCACGCTAATATTTTTTCCTACTTTGTTTCTTATTTTCGAAAACCGAAAATAACTTTCCCCGAAATTTTTTTGAGTACATAAATCGTACTAGACATTCATTGTAAATCATGCATTTGAGTATATCAATTATACTTAATATCCAATTTATCAGGCATTTGACAGTTGATAAACACCGTTTTGTATAAAAGAATCTTAAGTATGAGACAATGCAATTTTAAGCAGGATCTAGTTATCAATGTGATACTGTATTAGATAACGAATGCAGAAATAACGCTTAAAGGGAATAGCAATGAATTTGATAAGCGCTTCCAAATTTACCACCTGCTATCTTTGTTGTATTTTTGATGAACAAATGGTGAAACACAAATCAACAAACAGTGTACAGCAAACAATTTGAATAAAGGTAACAGAAAACGATATTAAGATATTTTCAGAGAAATCATTTTAGAAGTACATGTATTACTGCAGATGCCATGTTCAGACAATTTCTATGACATACGTTTTTTTTGTATGTGAGAAGTTAGCAGTTAACAGTGAGCTAAAATGCTCTGCTGTTATGCTCAGCAGGCTAAGCAATCTATCGGGACATTCCAAAATATAGTGTAAAAATGCTCTGCTGTTATGCTCAGCTTGGTAAGCAATCTAGCGGGCATTCCAAAATATAGTGTAAACATGATCTGCTGGTATGCTCAGCTGGCTAGGCAATCTAGCAGGGCATTCCTAAATATAGTGTTAAAAATGCTCAGCTGGCTAGGCAATCCAGCAGAGCATTCCTAAATATAGTGTAAAATGCTCTCCTGGCAAGCTCAGCTGGCTAAGCAATCTAGCAGAGCGTTCCAAAATATAGTGCGAAAAATGCTCTGCTGGTATGCTCAGCTAGCTAAGCAATCTAGCAGGACATTCCTAAATATAGTGTTAAAAATGCTCAGCTGGCTAGGCAATTCAGCAAAGCATTCTGAAAATTAGTGTAAAAATGTTCTGCCGGAATGCTGAGCTGTCTAGGCAAACTAGCAGGGCATTCTTAAATAAAGTATAAATTTCGTTGGTCTGCAACTGATTATTTGGCACTCGTAGACTTTCTGAAATATTTAGTGCCAATGCAGATAGTGATATTTTTGACTTCTACGGGACCCTCAAGTGTCTATTTCTTTGGTCTCCGACTGATTCTGGGACGATCGCAGACTTTCAGGAATTTTTGGTGTTAATGCAGATAATGACATTTGTGAATTTTTAGGACCATCCAGAGTCCATTTCGTTGGTCTGCGAATGTTTCTGGAACACTCGCAGACTTTCAGAAATTTTCGGTGCCAATGGAGATAATGACATTTTTACTTCAAAAGGACCCTTCTGAGTCTATTTCGTTGGTCTGCGACTGATTCTGAGTCACTTGCAGACTTTCAGGAATTTTGGTGTCAATGCAGAAAATGATATTTCTGACTTATTGGGACCTTTCTGAATCCATTTGTTTGGTCTGCGACTGATTCTGAGGCACTCACAGACTTTCAGGAATTTTTGATGTCAAACCAGATAATGACATTTTTTACTTCTAGGGACCATCCAGGGTCCATTTTTTTGGTCTGCGACTTAATCTTGGACAGTCACAGACTTTCAGGAATTGTTGGTGCCAATAGAGATAATTACAATTTATGACATTTTTGACCATCCAGAGTCTATTTCGTTAGTCTGCGACTGATTATTGGGCACTTGCAGACTTTCAGGAATTTTTGGTGCTAATGCAGATAATGCTAATGCAGATAATGACATTTTAGGGTAAAAATGCTATGCTTATGACTAAGGGGTCCTTAAAAGTAAAAAAGTCATGACCTGCAATGGCACTAAACATCCTGAAAGTCAGAAATGTCATTATCTCCATTGGCATCAAAATTCCTGAAAGTCTGCAAGTGTCCCAGAATCAGTCGCAGACCAGCGAAATGAACTCTGGTGGGTCGCTAAAAGTCAAAAATGTCATTATCTACATTGGCACCAGAGATTCCTGAAAGTCTGCGAATGTCCCAGAATCAGTCGCAGACCATAAAAATGGACTCTGGCGGGTCCCTAGAAGTAAAAATTGCCATCATCTCTATTGGCACCAAACTTTCCTGAAAGTCTGCGAGTGTCCAACAATCCGCTGCAGGCCAATGATATGGACTCTTGAAGGTCCCTAGAAGTCAAAAATATGATTATTTCCATTGGCACCAACCATTCCTGAAAGTCTGCGAGTGTCCAAGAATCAGTCGCAGACGACCAAAATGGACTCTTGAGGGTCCCTATAAATCTTAATTGTCAATATCAGCATTGGCACCAAAATTTCTGAAAGTCTGCGAGTGTCCTTCAAAAAGTCGCAGGACAATGAAAGAGTCTCTTATAGGTCCTTAGAAGTCAAAAACCTCTATTTCTATTGGCACCGAAAATTCCTGAAAGTCTGCGAGTGCCTCAGAATTGCCTAAAGTCGAAAATGTCAATAACACTTTGGCAACAATAAATCATGGAACTCAGAATCAGTCTGCCAACTGAGCATTCCACCAGAGCATTTTTTAACTATATTTCGGAATGCCCTGCTAGATTGCCTAGCCAGCTTAGCATTCCACTAGAGCATTTTTACACCATATTTAGTAATGCCCTGCTAGATTGCCTAGCCAGCTGAGCATTCCACCAGAGCATTTTTTCACTATATTAAGGAATGCTCTGCTATAGTGCCTAGACAGCTGAGAATTCCAGCAGAGCATTTTTACACTATATCTAGTAATGCTCTGCTTGATTGCCTAGCCAGCTGAGCATTCCACCAGAGCATTTTTTCACTATATTAAGGAATGCTCGGCTATAGTGCCTAGCCAGCTGAGCATTCCTGCAGAGCATTTTAACACTTTATTTAGTAATGCCCTGCTAGATTGCCTAGCCAGCTTAGCATTCCAGCAGAGCATTTTTACACTATATTTCGTAATGCTCTGCTAGATTGCCTAGCAGCTTAGCATTCCACCAGAGCATTTTTACACTATATTTAGTAATGCCCTGCTAGATTGCCTAGCCAGCTTAGCATTCAAGCAGAGCATTTTTACACTATATTTAGTAATGCCCTGCTAGATTGCCTAGCCAGCTTAGCATTCCAGAAAAGCATTTGTTCACTATATTTAGTAATGCTCTGCTAGATTGCCTAGCCAGCTGAGCATTCCAGAAAAGCATTTGTTCACTATATTTAGTAATGCTCTGCTAGATTGCCTAGCCACCTGAGCATTCCAGAAAAGCATTTGTTCACTATATTTAGTAATGCTCTGCTAGATTGCCTAGCCAGCTTAGGATTCCAGCAGAGCATTTTTACACTGTATTTAGTAATGTCCTGCTAGATTGCCTACCCAGCTTAGCATTCCAGCAGAGCATTTTTACACTATATTTAGTAATGCTCTGCTAGATTGCCTAGCCAGCTTTGCATTCCAGCAGAGCATTTTTTCACTATATTTAGTAATGCCCTGCTAGATTGCCTAGCCAGCTTAGCATTCCAGAATAGCATTTGTACACTATATTTAGTAATGTCCTGCTAGATTGCCTAGCCAGCTTAGCATTCCAGCAGAGCATTTTTACACTATATTTAGTAATGCCCTGCTAGATTGCCTAGTCAGCTTAGCATTCCAGCAGAGCATTTTCTCACTATATTTAGTAATGCCCTGCTAGATTGCCTAGCCAGCTTAGCTAGCCAGCTGAGCATTCCAGCAGAGCATTTTTACACTATATTTAGTAATGCCCTGCTAGATTGCCTAGTCAGCTGAGCATTCCAGCAGAGCATTTTCTCACTATATTTAGTAATGCCCTGCTAGATTGCCTAGCCAGCTTTGCTAGCCAGCTGAGCGTTCCAGCAGAGCATTTTTTCACTAAAGCTAGGAATGCTCTGCTAGATTGCCAAGACAGCTGAGTATTGCAGCAGAGCATTTTTACACTATATTTAGGAATGCCCCGCTAGATGCCCAAAACAGCTGAGCATTACAGCAGATCATTACCTTCCCTATATAAATTGAAATGCCTTTTTGCTTAGCTCACTGTTCACTGCTAACTTCTCACATACCGTTTTTTTTTTAGTAAAACAAGCGTCATTGATATTTAATTAAGACACCAACGCTATTAGAATCTTTTGATGATTTTTTTAAACTCCTGGTGAAGTTCAGTTTTTTTATGTATCTAACTTACATACTAATGGATGCTATTTGTTCATAATTTCAGTTAAACTAATCTTTTATTTGAAAAGATATACACACAGATTTCTTTTTTTTTATTAAACATACATGTAAATCAATCTCTAGCGTTGTCGTTCCCGTTAGTCCGGCCTTGTCTGTAACCGTGACAATACAGTTAAATGGACCTGTAAAGTTGGCCGTGTCATAATCAAACTTCGTGAAGAATTTTATCGAGGCGTCTGTCCTGTTCATACGGAAATATCGAGTATAATCTCCACAGTCCATCGTATACACGTGGGTATCTAAAGGTGTGGCAATATCGTTGTCGGGATCACTCATAATAGGATTCCAGTCTCCAATATCAGCCCACCTCTGTACAAAAATATTTTTTATGAAATTGTCAAGGAATTATTTTAAAATGTATTATTTCCTTATTTCAGAAGATCCTTGCTTAAGCATTCTTTTATGCCTAAAGAAATAAATGAATGCGCAGTTCTACAATTTGGCCAAATGAAAACGTAACTGCTAACTAACAAGACTTAAATTGATACTCCTATAAGTTGATATTCACGAGTAAAGTATACATAGTAAGCAATTATTTTGAATATTAATCTGCAGCTGATTAATATTCATTGGTTTAGGTAAAAAGATAATACCCGTTTGTACGAGTGAATAGTTTTTACTGATTTCTTAAAAACGATCTGTAGCAAAATAAAAAAAATGTACATGATGTATGAGGGTTGTTAAAAAGAAATAAAACCTTCATATTACAATTTAAGCAAACGTTTATCACAGTATTGTGCTAAACGCGTGTTCCCTGTGATGTTGAAAAATGGTAACACGCACCCAGTTCAGCGCATCAAAATAGCCTTTGGAGTTAAGTTACTTCCAGCTTATTCACAATTTGATATCAGTTTTTTTCCGTATATTTTAAACCAACAGCTTTCAGTATGTTTAAGGAACATTATGTCTACACATGACGTCATTCAGACAAAAAAATGTTCAATCATAATTTTGAACAGCAGTGGTCATTGCGCTAAATGTAAAAATGTGACGTCCGTTAAAATACTGGAAAGTAGTGCGGTTGACAGATTGGCGATACTCCTTTAACTACATACGAACAGATAAAATTAGCACAGGGCAATGAATCTCATGGCAGGTAATAAATTTGGCGTAAACAATTCAACGTCGGTAGGAAAGGGAGAAGCAGAAAGCGCGTGAAAAGCTCTACTAAAGGATTACTCAATATCACATAATAACAACTGCATATAAAAATATAGTCATGTCGTGAATACTTTAGTATAAATCTCACTGCATATATAAACAATAACAAAAACCAAACTATGATTTGCTCAGTTTGTTTGTTTGTTTAATTGGGTTTTACGTCACACCGACACAGTATAGGTCATATAAGTTCCAGCTTTACTGGAAGACATCAGATACATTATCTCAGGCACGAATCGGCACCTGAGAAGAACCACCGACGTTCCGTAGGCTAGCTGGATAGCTTCCTCACATGAAAGAGTCCAAAGTCCCTGTTGGGATTCGAACCCAAAGCTGTGAGGGGCAAGTGGTTTGAAGTCAACGACCTTAACCACTCGGCAACGGACGCCCCTTTATTTTGCTCAGTGCAGAATTTGTTTTGACATATTGTAATACTAGTAGTAAATACATCATACCCCGCCTTGCTCTATTGGTTCAAATGAATATTTTGTTTGGTGGAAATACGGAGCCTCGTTCACATTCCGGATGTTGATTGTCAGCGTTCCTGTTGCGGTATCGAGGCTATCAGATACTGTTATTGTCGCAATTACTTCCCAACTAGGGTCCAGCTCTTCATAGTCCAAGATATTATATTCAGTTGTAAGAACACCGGCTGAAAAAAAACACGCACAGAAGTTTTAACAAGAGCAATGGAGTGTGAGAGTTCATGTAATAGTGAAGAAAGTCATCATTTCCATTTATCATTTATTTCACTACTTAAAAAGTTTACACAATTAATCGTTTTCAATTCAGGCCAAACAGAATATGTTCTAACAATCATGCATAAAAGAGAGACAAACGGAATCCGTAAATAACAAACGGCAGTGGTAATTGCAAACCACCGCAGATTATAATACACTTCTTGATACAAGTAGTTTGCTCGTAAACTTTTATCTGCTTTTACTTCAGTATTATCTATAAAATGATTCTATGTTAAAATATTCGAAATTTGGTTCTGAAAAATATCAAATTTCCAATATAACTGCCATTGTAGCATATTGAAAACAAATTATAATATTTCCAAATTACATTTGATATTCTAAGGGGTACACTTCTCGATTCCTAGTACTAATCTCTCTTTGAGAATTTGATTTGTATATTTTACATACTTGATACATTTAATCCGAAATAGTTGGTTGCCCAAGTTTGGTCATACGTCACGAGGACGGTGTGGGAATCTGTGGTATCGATATCAACATATTGTACAGTATACACAGTCGTTCCGAGCGGCGTTCCCTCGTGAACCGCTATAGGATCGGTCAATCCGAGATTTACAATCATTGGAACATCATTTATATCTAATAATTTACAATAATCAACATTTTTTGTAGTTAAAATCAACATTTTTAAATATACATTTTGCTAGATTTTTAAAATAAAAAGAGTCAGAATTTAAAACATTTTCTGCAAAAAAATTGTTTTTTTTTATAAAGTACATGTAATAGGGAAAAAAAGGCAAATTTCTAGTGATTAGTATGAAACATCTAGTCTAATCTTTAGTTTATATAAGTTCGAGTGTTTTCTGAAAATGACATAGACCTTAACGTGTTGCTAGAAATTTGACATCTTCAATGAACTTGAAACTACAATTATAATTATTTTTCGCAAATCGGCTGTATTAATTCGTGAATTGAAATTCAGCGTAAATTGTAAACACAAACTGTAGTGATATATCATATTCAGATACATTGTATTAGTTTATTACCATGAACTAGAACTGATAGCGACCTAGGTCCAACAGTTGTTGTACCATCAGAAACAGTTATCGCTAGGTCCCAACCAGGTTGATTATAAAAGTTTCCAACTAGATCTTGTGTTGCGGACACAACGCCATCTGGAATTAAAACAATAAATAAAACTTGTAATCGCTGCAATTTCCTGACATGAAGAAAACTTGATCTTAAAATGTAATCGCAATCAATATTGATTTTGTACTTGGTCAGTATTTCGTCTGCTTGAATGATTTTGATGCATAAGTAACCAAGCAAACTACAGTTTATACAGTAGAGATTTTGATAACTATCTATACCTAGCTCTTTCTCTCCGGTAGGTGCAAATCGTTGAGAGGTACAATGCACCTACAGAAGATTGGCAACCAACGGGCGGAGCCTTACACTTATGCATAATTTACTCATTTTAACCTCAGCTCTTCTTACGTGTGGAGCAGCTGCCTTTGTCTGGACGGAGAGTATTTAGGCAGTAGAAAAGCTCGCTGTCGACGGCGTGACGAGTTTTGAAGCGACGATTTATTATGTAGTTCACATCGAGCAAGATTAGGCTGTAGGTGGGGATGAGAAATGTAGAGAGAGAAAAGTTTCGAAACTATTGTTGCTAAGGTAAGATAGAGCCATCGTTGGTTTATTGACGTTGTCATGGGGAAACTTGGCCCAGCATGCGGGTACGTGGACTGTAGCAGCGCAGTGTTCAGAACAGAATGTCGGTAAATAATTCAAAGTAACAACCTATTCTCTGGTATAGGAACTTTAACCATAATCTCACGACAATAAAATATAACACACATGGTGCTGATGACGTGTAAATCCTACATAAATTACTTATCATCTCCATTAAATAGCAGGCATCTTCCTCTACTGCTGCTTTTACTGCAGCAACAACACCTTCTGATGATGCTGTTGCGGGACGGCCAGATCGGGGCTAATCTTTGATAATATATTTGTATGTTCTACCGGATTTAATTATAATAACCAAACGCATCTCGAAACTGTGGTATATGACAGGTCACCATAAACTTTATATAAATATGATTTAACATCATGCGCGTCCTTGCCGTCTGATAATGGTCTTCACTATTCACTATTCGGTATTTATTTTTTTAGTTTTCTCATTAAAAACGATGAATGGTTTTGATCAGATTTGGACGAGAAGTTATTTAGTGTTGTAAGGGTAAAAATCTTACTGTCTCCATCTATTTCAAACGGACATCCAGCAGGGTCACAGGTCATGGAAAATGTAAGGTTATCGTTTTCGGCATCTGTTGCAGACACAGCGTACACAAAGTCACCGGTGGCTGTTGTACGATAGGTTATATTGGCTCTAGCGCCGTCTGAAAAAAAAACAACATACCCGTGCGATAACAAAATCTGTGAAATTCAATAAATTCAATAATTAACTAGTTAATCTATCCAGCAAAGTGAATGTGAGATTAGTGTGGTCTATAATACAATGAGGAATTCAAGATGGAAGAAAAGAATTGCTGACTGTGCAGTGTTGTTGTTCTAACATTTTTTAAAAATTTGTTCATATTCCCAGTAGTGAAAATGACACTGACATTACAGAGTAAATATTTAAATGAGCGTATTTATCTCTCTATCTTCCGTTAATTATTTAATTGTCGAAACATCCAATGTATGAGGACATTGTTATTTTTTTTAATAAAAGCATTTTAAAAGTAGTATTCTAAAACAAACGAAAACTAGAATACAAGATTTAATATACGGGTTTAATTTGGCCATGTAAAGTTAGGATGCAGGAGAATAATGCGTGGAGCTGGCCATTAATAAATTTTTGTTTTATTATTAATTTTTGTTTCAGTAAGTACTTACTATTCAAGTTGGTGAATTTTGGCGGATTATTTTTTGTTATATACAGCATAAAGTAGCCCGTGTCCGTATTGTTTTGCCCATCACTTAACGTGATGTCCATTATGTATTGTTGAGTTGTTTCATAGTTAAATGTAACGCCATTAGTCGTAACTATAGATCTGTTTGAATCTGAAATGATAAAGAAAATACACATGACGTGTTTGAACTTGTCAAATGATTAAATATCGTAAATAATTGATCATATGACAAACAGAGAAACCAATGTTTTATGCATTATGCAAACAGTATTTTTTACATAAATATCTTTCATCTGTATCAATGTATATCTTTTTATATTTTATTTATATTTTTGCGGATCTAGAAGTTGACACATTTTATATTGATTTCGTTTGAGTTTTAACATATTTAGGTTGAGGAACGTATTGTATCAATAATTAAGCAATACACCTTGTTCAGTGCATTAGGAATTTACTTTTCTCTTGCATTGAGTAATAAAGACTTGATGTCGATGAGATTTCTTATCGCAAGGTTTAGTTTAATTACATATGTATGTAGATGTAAAAAATCTATTGATACAAAATCATGAGAAGAAAAGAAAAACGCTTGTTATCGCTATGCCATCCTATTTGACTGGAATAAACAATTTGTTTCCGTAATATGATTGCATTTGAATGTAAGTCGATGACTCCGTGGACACTGACTTTGAACCATTGACCCTTCACAGCAGAGACTTTGGAGTGTCATGTAAGGTAGCTACCTAGCTGCTAACAGAATGGCAGTGGTTCCTTTCAGATACCCACACGTACCTGTATAATGTACAGAGGGACACCTGAGGTATCCCACCACCAGAAAAGCTGGAAAGATGTCATATGACTCTTCCAGTGTCAGTGGGATTAAAGCCCTAACAAGAAACACATCATGGTATAAATTTTCTATTTCATTTTAATCAATTTTTTATTTTATCAGTATATATTGTGATACGTACTATCATGTCCTACATTTTTTACAGTAAATCCAGCGTTTGTCGGGGAAACATTCAAAGTTGTTACAAGTGTCGAATTGTCTTTGTCCGTGTATTGTACAGTGAAAAGCGCCACCTCGTAGTTAGTGTTCTCCGATAGTGTCGCAAATGAGGGCAAATTTGTTAATCTGGGTGCCTTTTAAAAAGAAAAAAAACCGGTAAAATCAAAGTTTCTGATTCTGTCGTTCATAAGATAAAGAGAATTAGAGAAAGACTTATACCAAAATGCATATGACTGACTCGCTGCTGAGAAGTGGAAGGCGCATAAAATAATGACTTTCATGTTCGGTCCAATGTCGTGCTTTTTGTAGAAAGCTGTTTGTTTGTTTGTTGTTGTTGTTTTTTTTTAGTCAGACAGTTATCTGGCCGAAATCACTAGACATTATGAGTAAAAGACAATAAATTCTATTAAAAAGTGTTTCATAACTATATAAAATGAGCTCGATACATCTAAGTACAAACGAAAGTTCTATTCTATTCTTCCCTATTATACCAAACTGTTGTATTACTATTTGTAATTCTGCTGTTTCTGGATATACCTTAAATTTTGATTTCTTGTTTTTTATTGTTGAGATAACATACGAACGAAAGAACAAACGGACATACGGATTTTATAAAAATAAAAACCACAGCAACAGATATATTAGATGGTTTATGTTCTAACTTGTTCTAATTTTGTCGAAAGAAAATAAAGTACATGTAATAAATCTTTTTTGGATATTTTTTTATTAAAGGCTTACCCAACTTAACACTTTTATTGTAAGTGTTGCTTGATTGGTATTTAAACACTGGTCTTGAACTTCAAACGTCATAGTGTATGTCCCGACAGCCGGCTTTGACACGGCAAGGAAAAACAGTGCCTGAAATCACAGAATCAGGACAATGATAAGTAATTGAATAAATGCACTTCTAATTATGTAAAATAGGTTTTCTTATATATTCTGTATATTTCTTTTTTGTTTTCGGCATCATCTACAACATTATCACAGCAGCATCATTTTCATATTCATCATTATCATCATCATTATCATCATCAACATCATCTAATCATCGGTCATTATTATAGTTACACCGAGTAGCTCATTTAGAAAAACAGCAAATATATACAAATATCCAATGGTGTTCGGCTGAGCTTTACGACCGGAAAGTTGTTATTTTAAAAACTAGTGAAAAGAAACATGTAAAAATAAAAGTAAAACACGCACGTATTGTTCTGTCGTAATAAAACTGACTAGTTGATTGTTCATCAATATCTCTGATAAAAAGTGAAGACACGTCTTTCGAATCAATGTCGTCTGCGGATATTTTGTATATGAATGCTCCGGCTGTCTCGTCGCCGTATATCCAAACTTCACGAGGCAAGTTAGTGAACTCAGGAGCCGTGTCTGCAAATAGAATCTTGGCAGCTTAGTATATGTATAAATATGTATAAATAAATAAATAAATAAATACATACATACATACATACATACATACATACATACATACATACATACATACATACATACATACATACATACATACATACATACATACATACATACATACATACATACATACATACATACATACATACATACATACATACATACATACATACATACATACATACATACATACATACATACATACATACATACATACATACATACATACATACATACATACATACATACATACATACATACATACATACATACATACATACATACATACATACATACATACATACATACATACATTGTTAATCCAATGGCTAGCTAATAAAAGGGTAAATTATTTTACAAAATATTAAAAAAAAACATACTTGCGATAACTTCTGCTCCAAAAGCATATATCCGGTCTCTAGTTACAACAGAAGACCCTGAAGACCAGTCAAATGTTGGCTCGTGCGCGGGGTCAAGGTTGGTCATGCTCGGCTCCCTCCTCGATTCATCGGAGTATGATTCAACGCCCTCTTTATACCCTACAATACCCGAGGGCCCCGCGGCATACCTGTACACAAAAACAATATTTTAAAATAGACAAATGTATGTTGAAGAGGTATGTAAAGTAAATTATTAAAGACCGGTTGTGACATTTTGATTTTCACGAATTCACAATATATATATATTTGGTAAAAGTATATAATGTATATATTATATACATTTAAAACATTACAATAAAATAGATGCATGATGCAGCAGACAGACTTTAATATCATAATATATACTAGCTGAAATATACATGTATATTAATACATGTTATATAAAGAATGCACACCTATACCAGAGATAAAACCAAAAAAAGGGAAAATAAATATCCTTGTTTCCATTGTGTTCTCTGTCATTGGTCTCATTGGTCTCGTGATATAGAAATTCTTTTACTAGTTTGTCGACACAATAATGATAGTTTAACATGGCATTTAACATGTTGAATCATCTGTATGTATCACTAAATAGTTGAGCCGCGTTACGACAAAACCAACATAGTGCGTTTGCGACCAGCATGGATCCAGACCAGCCTGCGCATCCGCGCAGTCTGATTAGGATCCATGCTGTTCGCTATCAGTTTCTCTACTTGTAATAGAGTTGGTAAGCGAACAGCATGGATCTTGATCAGACTGCGCAGGCTGGTCTGGATCCATGCTGGTCGCAAACCCATTAAGTTGGTTTTGTCATGACGCGGCTCAAATAGTTATTGTAATACAAATATCATAGAGATTATAGCACACAGAGACTATCACATTAATGCACATATCACAGAGGTACATAATACAAAATTTAACCCCCTCCCTCTCGAAATTAAAGGCTAAACATCAAACTATAAGATAGAATTATGACTGACATTCAGGGGACTTTAATGTTATTTTTAAATTTGATTGATAACAATTGATATTTCTTCATTCCTGAGGAGAAGAATGTAATATTCAAACTACACTTAGACCTTAATTTCGGTTTGGACGCAAAGAAAATTGACTCAATTGTTCCAAAGTGCAATGACATCTTGATCACTCACAGACAAGCTCCAGGTCACGGCTAAGGTGGCTTCAATCTTCATAAATTCACGATTTCAACATAATGAATACATGATTTCATCTTCACGAATTAACGTTTTCATATCAACTTCCTGAATTCACGAATTCAACTTCACAAATTCACTAATTCAGCTTCACGAATTCACAAATATAACTTCAATTTATTAAGTTGAAATCGTAAATTCATGAAGTTGAAATATTGAAATTATGAATTCATGAAATAGAAATCGCGAACTCATGGACTCATGATGAAATCACTTATTTGTTATGGTGAATGTAATTAAAGTGTCCCTGTCAGTCTTTCATAGTATATCAAGCAAAATAAACTTTCATTGTCTTACTTAGTGTTCAACAAGTATTGTTTTTACTCTTTCGCTTTGATAGAAACTGAGAAAACAATTTACAAAATCAAGGTATGAATTGTTGTATTTAAAGCTTCTTACTATATTGTAGTAAGTGATTTATATAATACATTGAAAACTTTAATGGTATGTATGATTCAAATGTGTAAACAATTAATCAGATATAATATTTATCATTCAGTAATATATCATAATTATATACAATCCAATGAAATATCATATTTACCATTCAGTGAGATAATATATTTACAATCCACTGAATTCCATTTACACTCAATTGAGATATTTCATTTATATTCCAATGATTTATTATTTAAACAATCCAAGGAGATATTAAATTTACAATCCAATGAGATATTATATTTAATTACAATCGAATAGGATATAGTATTTACAATCCATTAAATATTATATTGATATCTAATGAGATATTACATTTACAATTGAATAGGATATATTATTTATAATCCAATAAAAATTATATTGATATCCAATGAGATCTTATATTTACCATCCAATAAGATATTATATAAACACCCAATGAGTTATTATATATATCACCCAATATGATAATATATTTACCATCCAATGAGATATTATATTAACATCCGATGAGATATTATATATATCACCCAATGACATAATATATTTACCATCCAATTACATATTCTATAAATATCCGATGAGATATTATATCTATCACGTACCAATGACATAATATATTTACCATCCAATGAAATATTATATGAACACCGAATGTGATACTATATATATATCACTCAATAAGATATCATATTTACAACACAATGAGATATTATATTAACATTAAATGAGATATTATATCTCTCACCCATGAGATAATATATTTACCATCCAATGAGATCTTATATTAACATCAAATGAGATATTATATATATCGCCCGATGAGATAATACATTTACCATCCAATAAGATCTTATATCAACATCCAATGAGAAATATATCTATCACCCAATGAGATAATATATTTACCATCCAATGAGATCTTATATTAACATTAAATATCACGTAATGAAATATCATAATTACCACACAATGGAGATATTATAGATCAACAACCGAAGTGGAGATATTATTATCTATCATTCCATGAGATTTAATATATTTTACCATCCAATGAGATAGTTATTCCTTATAGTAATCCTATCCCTTTCTGGCACGAGATACTCTACAATGTTATTCTTAGCTGAAGCTGTAATATATTTAAGATCATTGTAATTATAAAGAAATTATATAAGTCTTGTACTTGTAAAAAGTTTTAAGATTATGACAAACACATTTTGTGGGAGAAAATAGTATTGCAGAGTTGCCGTTGTTCTTTATCAAATTATTGCATTTATAACCATTTCATTACAAAACTTAAATTTATTTTAGCACTACTGGTAAAAATTTACTTGGCTTTGATCAACAATAATATGTAATATGTATGTGTATCTTTGTTTCCTGAATAATCGTATTTATTAGAGATTCAAACCTGGAACAGTAAAATAATTTTCTCCTTTAAGCTGGTAACTCTGATGATCTAAGTGGTCCCAGACTTGTAACTCTATAGCACCATCCTCCACAGCATAGAAAATCCATTTATATAGCACGCCGCACGTGCAGCTGTCCGGGGTGTGATACTCCACTGCCTCCATCAAAAACCCGCTGCCTTTATATAAAACAATCAGTTTATATATGATTATTTTTTGTACAGTTGTCGTGATCTTGAAACAATTTAGTTTGAAATTTTCAATCAAAGATCCAATTAAAACTATGTCATACAGGTTCCTATGGAAGCCTTGGAGGGTCACTTTTGAGTTTCGACTTACAGATTTATTTTACTATTTTCTTATGACTTTTGATTTATGACTTTTGATTTATGACTTTTGATTTTTGACTTATGGATTTTGTTATTGTCCCACGTGTTTGCCTCATAATTTCTAAGGAAAATATGGCAGAATATGACAACAATTCAGACGAGGTAAGTTCATTTACTTAAGTTGCCTGGAGACTTATTTAAAAAACAAAATATGTGGGCTCATATGCAAGAACAGAATATTATTCTTATATAAGCCTTTTTTCTTGATTAAGAAAACAAAATACTTTGCTTGCTTTGCATTGCATTTGATATCCATTTTTTTATTTTGATTTCCGGAACAGGGATATATAATTTCAAATTGACATACAACGTATGAATCAAACGCTTTATTTTTATATGGGTTCCAGTTTTAAATCCAAATCAGTCTCGCATTGTTGTTTGCTGCAGTTTCAATCGGTTTTCACCTGTAGTTCATTCTTCGTTCATGTTATATTGAATATAGACCAAATTATAGGCCTTATTTTGACAAAGAAATTTGTAGCTAAGAAGATTCATGAAACATGGTATTTCAAAAACAATAAATCATACAGCTTTGAAACTTCACACACTTGTTTAGAACACGCTCTAAGTTAGAAATCTCTGAAATGCATTGTTATCAAATTATGCCTCTTTTTCGACTTTGAATTTGTGGTTTAGAATTTTCATGACAAATCGTTTTTCAAAAACTATTTCAGCGATTCCTTTGAAACTTAAAACACATATTAAGTGTTGACATCTAAGGTCAATGACCAAGTTTCGTATGAGTGGCTCACAATTTGACATTTTATCCCTTTTTTTTAAATTTTAAATTTGTTTTTTTCAGAAGGTTTATAAATAGGGCCCCATAAATAAAGTAAGGGCCATAATTAAATTTATTTTTCAATTTTTTCCAAGTATCAAAAATTGGACCCCTTACCAATTTACAAATTTACAGTTTTTTTGTATAAAAAATTTTTGTAACCATTATGTTTAAGTGACTTTTTGTTTTTCATTTTGTAATTTTTTGTATTTCTTTTTAAAGTTAGAAAAACACTTCTTTAAATAATTTAAATTTTTAATTTCTAAAAAAGCAAACCTGTAAAATTAAGGGAGTCCCTCCCGAAGGTTTAAAAACTACAAACGCATTTCCCAAAAAGCAATCGGGAAAATTACATTTTTTGGGTCAATTTTTTGGGTCAAGTTTAAAAAAAGACTTTTGCAAAAACAGCTTTTTCGTTCCGAGTGGAAAGTAGTGCAAAATATCCAAACACTGGTGATTTGGTTTTCTTCGTTATTGTCTATGGAAATATTCAGACATTTTCGAAGTACGAGTGTTAACCTTTTCACACTTGTTATTTTCAAGTTTTAACCCCACCACTTATTGTGGACGCTTTATTGGAAACACGCAATGTCACGTCCCGCCACGTTTATTTTATACTGTCCATAGCTCCAATATGGTCGATAGACAGGTCATGGTGAGACTGAGAAAAGTGTGAAAAATCATGAATTCATAATTCTGGCTTTCATAATTTTCAGTATTTGCCCATTGTAAATTTTAAAACTTATATGAAAGGTATCGAAATCAAACTTTGCATGTTCATATAGTTCTGCTATCATAGCTATCATAAATTTTAGAAAGCCTCCTTTGTTGTTTTTTTTTTTTTTTTTTTTTTTTTTTTTTTTTTTTCAATCTTAGATTTTGTTAAGCTCATAATTATCTTAAAAAACTGTTGAATGCATTCAACTTGAATTTACTGGCAGATATATCTCGGCGAGACAGAGAGTGCATTGTGTTGTAAACAAAAAAATTTGATTATAACATTAATCGTTTCTCCTAAATTAAACATTTCCTTTTTCGACATGCTGCGGGTTGGGGTATGCTCATTACGAAAGACTATGAGAATTTCCATTACATATATAAAATCGGTCATTCTTCGAAAAAAAAACAAAAACAAAAAACAACTTGTGAACGTTATTTAATATATACATTATACAATGGATACAGTTTCTTAAAGTTAACTAGGAAATTTTTGGCTAGAGACTGTGCTTGTTTTTTTCCTCTTTTGAACATTTAGAAAAGAAGAAATAACGCTCTGACAATGATTTTAAAAATCTTGACTTCAATAATAATGCAGACACTCTAGCGTTGCTAGTTTACATGATTTATCTTATGTTTTCAAAAGCTTCTTTAGAACACTCATGATTTTCTTAGTTTTTATCAGTAACGTTTGTAGAAATATCGTATATACGCGTATGTCTTCCGTGACGTAAATATCGAAGTGTTTGTTGATGGCAGTGTTAATTTTAAGCTGTTCCTTAGTGTAAGGCATTTGTGCTATTTTGAAAAAAGTGCTTACCTCTGTATTTCTTATCTCTTTTTTTAAATTAAATGTAATGAAGCTCAAATGCAGTTTGTTTTGCATTTATTTTATTATCTTTATACATTTTGTTTCTTATAAGACAAACATTTTGTTAAACAAAATAAAGCACGGTTGTAGAAATAAAATGTTTGTTGTTATCTGTTTAAACGCATTTATTCAAATAAAATATTGATAGCTGTGCCAACCTGTCACGGTCTAGACCGTGAGGTAAAAACCTTTGGTAGTGTGGTCTCTCGGTAGAGGTATATTTAGGTAGTCTGTTGAGGGAGTTGGCTGGTTCCAAACAGTTTACTTCTATAGTGATTGCTATTCTATTTCTACTTTGCTCATTTCAACCTCTTACTTATAATTTTAATGGAACACTATCTCTACATAGATAAATAAATTCTCTGTGACATTTAAATACTGTTTATTCCGGAAGTAAATTGCAAGTTTATTTTAGTTATAACAAAGTTATAATAACACAATAATAAATTGTCAACAAATAGGACAATGTATTTTTATCATTCAGGACCAGATTTAATATGATAATGTAAATAAGTTCAAGTTTGAAGTAGAAATCATCAAGAGTTTGTGTCAAAACCGTTTTCTAAATTTTATTTTATACTTTTAAATTTTCTCCCAACGGATAGAAAATTCCGTATTATGTTAGTGACAAATACGGAACCATATATGGAAATGCCGGATTATTTTGACGTTGGTTCCGATCTTAGCAGTGTCTTACGTAGCATCCAAAATTATAAGAGGCGTCGCCGGCTTTGCATAAATTACGTATTCATTCGTCACTCATAAATTTATTTTTCATTTCCTGAAATTTCTTATAGAAGTGTAGTATAATTAAAATCATTTTTACTAAAAAACGAAAAGGAATATAATAAAAGTAAAATTATGTTGTAGTAGCTTTCTGAGGCTATGCATTTTTCTACTTGCAATATTGGAAAATAAATATCTCACTCGACCTTCGGTCTCGCGAGATATCAATTTTCCACCGCTGGCTCGTAGCAAATACAAAGCCTTAAAGCTACTACTACATAATATTCCGTATATAAATCTCCTTTAATTTAATGTATTATAATGCCTAACGCTTGTACCCTCTTTAATAGTCAACACGGGAAAATAGCGTACCCGGCAACCGTGACTAAATTCAACAAAGAATTAAATAATCTATTTCAAGATGTAAAATGCTAATAAAAAATTTGTAATAAAGCTACACATCTAGAAACTAGCTCAGAACAGTTTAATTCTGAATAAAAAATTCGTTATTTATCAAGAATAGTTTATTTACTTTAATACTCAATGCTGCAGACGGCACTTATAAATAAATGTCCTGAAATTGAAACTTCTATACATATGATTTCATACATACAATTGATGTTGATTCTTCACGTAAAAAAAATCAACTATGATAAAAACATATGAATGCAATAATTCTAATGCAAAAATGAGGCTAGTGGCTAAATGAATTTGTAAACATTATTATGACTTCAACCACCACCTCTTTCGGCTATGTCTCCCTTTTCATTTGGGTGATTGGCAATCCACACATTTTGTTTATTTTTAGCATTTAATTCTAAAATCCAAATTTTAAAACTTAATGTTTTATACCAAAGGCAAAGATAACAGCCAAAAATGGCAAAAAGTTTTAAGTTGCAAAAGTCAAAAGATAAAAAGTCCATAAGTAAAAATGATAAAAATTATAAATGAAAGTCTTTAAAACCAAAAACGGGGGGAAATAAGTCACATTTTAAATTACAAAGATTCAAATTATTATTATTGAAAAACAATCATTATATATTTTCCTTTGTTAAAAAACCATAATACATCCTAATAAAGATGGTTGCTAATTTGTTGTTTGCAAATGGAATAAAGGGGACGTTTGAAATTCTAATTTAACACATACTTGAAATTAACCGCTACATTGTATAAAAATTTATATGTCAACGGTACGAAATTCTACTGAATTTTACAATCCCTTACAGTGCAAGATAGAGTGGTTTATAACTTAAATGATAATTTACAAATATATGTGTAATTTGCTCAATATAACAAACCAAATATCTTAAAACAACCATATAATGAAGTGAAATCGTAGACTATCGTCTTTATGATTTTAAAAACATCATTTTTTGAAAACTTTACCTGTAGTAACCTAGTATATATCAAAAAACACCAAAAAAAGTCAGTATAAGTCGTTTTTAAAGCGTATTTATATTAAATCTATTTTCAAAATTAAATCGTTCAACTCGGTACACAGTTGTAGTATTGAAACAGCGTCCAATGGCGTCTGTAGATCTGGCTTCAGAAGGGGTGCTAATTCTACGAATTTCTCACAGTGTCTTGTTTTGCAAAATATATAAGTCTCTCAAGTAAACTGTGAGTTGTGAGTTTCATACAGACCTTGTACAAAAAAACAGTTGTGTCAGGTTTACCACAAATAACAGAAGAACTCGTTTGTTGCCTTATTTCATGTGCAATCCGGTCTAACTCGGTTTGTATGAATCCATGAAGCAAAATTTTAAGTTCTTACATTGTATCGGGCCAGATTATTAAATACACATGTATCGCGGAAGTCTTTGAAAAAAAAATCCACCAATGGATTCCAATTTTGTCGTAATGTTACACCACCACTTCTCAATGCGTTGGTTAGATGTGCTTTTTCCAACTACAACGCTTCGAGTACCAGCAATCGGATCTGTAGAATCGTGTCTGAAGTATTGCTGCAATAGTTTAAAGGCAAATGCAGTTTTCCGTACCAAACATTACAAAAGTAGTATTGGGTGGGGGGGGACTTGGTAATGTTCAGTAAAGGTGTCTAAAAGTATCTTGCAATAAGGTGTGGGACGTTATTTGAGTCCGAAACCTCTAACCATATTATTTTTCTACTATACCCATTTACAGCACCATGGATACAAAATCCTTATGGTTTAAGTTTGTCTTAACCGTCCATATGTCATATAAAACTGGACCTTTGGCGGCAATAAGCGATAAGCTTTCCGCATTCTCATCAAGCGCTTCATTTATTTCCATGGACGTCGGTCCCCCCTTATTGTACTGTGGTAATCCAGCATTACCAACGCCATGTATTGTACGGTATTTCCTTATTCCATCTCACTTGTTTTTATTTCACATTTAATAATAAACAGACACAGGTCTCAAAAGGGTATAATTCCATTACGCCGTGTTTTAAAATTTAAAGCGTTTTTAAAAAATTTCTATCCACTGTAACTAAATTGGGATCGTTGTAAAGATATGCCATTGGCCGTTACCAGAAAGTACTTTATTTATCAGCAGGTTTTGTTTTTAAAAGTTTTTAAGGAGGTATCCCTTGGCCGTACGGGTAAGCCGTAGTATTTGGTTGAAGCCAAATCAACATTCAAGTTTTTCATCCTTCGTTTTACCTTTTGTCCCAGTAGTTTGTCTGAAATAAGAGTATATAATTTTATCTAAAACTCTTTTATACATTCATTAGTATATAAAATGGGGTAAATCTCTTAGCTCCGTCTTTTAAAGATTGATAGGTGGCGAAAAAATATATAACATTTAAAATACTAGTAGGATATTTTTTTCCTAACTAATCTTTATCTATGTTTGTTCTTAAGTTGTTTCTTTTCTCAAATTGTTAAAAATATAGAACAAAAATTAGAATTGGTCTAAATGCAAAATGGTGTTTCGCATCACAATTATAAGTTAACTTTGCACTTGTGTGTTATGAACATAGCACTTCCGTTTCTATATGAAATTGGTCAACACTATCTAAGTACTTCAGAGGACATACTGATTATGTAATAGCTCAATAAAATTCCTGAACTGCGATACATGTTTAATACTGTGCACCCATGCCATTTAAAGACGTTTAAAAACTTGTATTCCCTGTCTACTTGTAAAACAGTTATTTTGTTTGTTACTCATGGACAAATTTTGTGATGAGGACAAAAAATGTATAAGCACTAAATATAGTGAACATATTTAGAACATAGCAGATTGCTTGTGGAATTAAAGTCTGTGATATATTACCACTATTGGATTATATCAAATAACATTAAATTTCCTCCTTAACACATCCTCACCTCCATGACAAATCTCAATGAAATTATTTAAAACGTTTAAAAAACATACCTGAAACCAAAGTTGCTGCTTTCAGCTTTTAAAGCACGTGTAAAATGGGTAAGTCATAAGACGTAAGTCACAAATCAAAAGTCAAAAGTCGAAAGTCAAAAGTAAAAACATCCGTAAGTCGAAACTCAAAAGTGACCCTCCAAGGCTTCCATAGGTTCCTGTAATGTTCAGCAGAAGTTTGTTACGAATACAGAAAATAATTTTTGAATATATGATCGACGCGAGTGCTTCTTTGACCTTATATAATCTCCATGAACACAATTTCGTTTCAAACAAGTTAAAGTTAATAATGTATACTTTATCTGAATATTTCAAGAATTATAAATGAAAGAAAATTTTGCAATGAAATAAATTAATACGGATTGTATTTATGTATGTAAATATCCCCTTTTAGTAAGTATATATCACGTAACTGAATTCTGTGTTGCTTCTTGATTGATACAAAATATGAAAACGGAATCAACTTTTTTGACCTCTACAATATATAAAATAAATTGTTCAGCGAAGAAGTAAATTTTTACTACAGGGCTTACTTGAATTACTTTTCTATACAGTTTTTAAAAATTTGGATAAAGTGTTGATCCCTCGGAGGCATTAATCACAAGAAAAGAAATTTACCAGTGACTGTATCGGCAGTGGTATATATTTGTAAGCGCTAGCGCTAGATGCGTTTCAGGTGGCCATTTTTTGGCGCGTGCAAGTCTGTACCGCATCTGGAAAAAAAAAACACGATTTATGTCTCAAGATTTTATAACGAAATTTCATTATCAATCGTTTTTGATATTTTCACATTTGTTTGAATATATAAATGAGTAATAAATTATAGAAACATTAATGTTCGAGACTTACCGGCACATACTAAAAAACGCGAAAAACACGATTAATTCCTTCATTTGTGAATTATGTCATTTAATACATGTTTAGAACAATATCAGATTTACAATAGAAAAGGTTTTTAAAAAATCGGAAAGTAGCGTTTAAAACATAGACCACTAGCATTGTTTTGGGTTTAAAGTGATCATTTTACACATAAAAAAACAATAGGAACTTAATGTAGCAAAACGAGTGTTTTTTTGTTAACGAATCGATAGATCATATCTACAATAAACGTATGATTTTATACAAGTTTCATTATGCATGTATTGGAAAAATGTCTATAATACATACTATAGATATATGCCCTGTTTAAGACTTAAACTTAAAGCATATCATCTGTTTAAATACAAGTAAATAATGAAAGCATTTGAATAATATGGCCGTGAAAGTACGCGAGCTAACTGGCTAGCGGGTGGGCGGGGGGCTGGCAGTGTGAACTTGCGGGCTAGCAGTCTAGCGGGTTTAAAAG